AGCACGGGCAATATTGGTGGAGGCAGTGTAGGCGAGCAGACGAGGATGAGCACAGATGGGACACGACACAGACTGTGACAGCATGGCAGGTGAGGATGGATGGTCACATAGAGGGCTTGGCACAGGGCACCTTGGACTCCCCCAGAAGGCCCAGACGGCCCACACCCTACAACCTGGGGCTGAGGGCAGCCTCTGTTCACACTGTAAATGGGATCAGATGGGCATCCAGCAACCATGGACACCAGCTCCCATGGTGCCCACTCTTCTGGCCCCCAACTTGTTCTCTCTCTCCCTCAAGAAAACACCAACACATCACTCAGATCTTGGCTAAAGTTGGCCTCCTCAGGAAGGCCTCCCTCCCCACCAAGAGGCCAGGCCAGGTCTCTTCAGGTTGGTTTCAGTTATACCCCAACCCTCAGCTGTGTAATTCACTGATTTGCACCTGCCTCCCCTGCTAAGAGCCGACAGGAGGGACCAGGACTGTCCCATGTACCTGGCATAGTGCTGACACAGCACCTGATGGGCATGGCCACAAGCTGGCTGAAGAACCCCACAGAAGCCTCAGCCTCAGACTGACCACAGGGCAAGGCCTCCAACCTCTGAGGCCCTTTTTGGCTCTAGCATTCTGAGGTGACATGGAGCATGACAGGAAGACAGCAAGGATCTTGGCCAATCCACCAGAGCCATCATGGACATATCCCAAAGGCCAGTGGAGCCAGGCCAAGTTATGGACCAAGGCGTTCTGCAACAACTCTGCTCCCTGGGCCCTGCCACCAATGAACCTCCAACAGGGAGGGAAACGCACACGGATCCAGTCTCCAGATCCAGTCACGGATCCAGGTGAGTGGGCACAGGGACCCTCCTCGTGTTAGCCTCACCCCTGGTCTGGAGAGAAAGAGACTTAGACCCCAGCTCTTCCTTGGCTCCGCCCCAACTAGCCTGAGCCCTGGATGAGCACCCACCTGCCCTCAGCTCGGCTTCCTCTTGGGGAAGAGGACATGTGACCAAGCCTGCAGGGCGACTGTGAGGAACATGCTACTCCACTGCAGGCACCCAGCCCGGGGCCCAGCACAGGGCAAGCATGCACTGCCTTGTGGGGCCCAAGCACGCACACGCACACACGCACACACATGTGCACTGCATGTGGGAGAGGGGTAGGGATTTTGCTCAGAACTCTCATTATGCTGTGTTTGAACATGCGTAAACAGCAATTATTGGGCGCCCCTTGAAGGTCACAACGTGCTCCCCAAGTGACTTTTTTTCCTGGTCAGGAAACTTGAACACTCAAGATTTCAGCACCGAGGGCAAATAGCAAGCTGATGTACGGGGGAAGTCAGGCAGGGAGGAGCGGCAGCTCGTGTCTTAGTGTCTTCTCTGTCTGGTCTCTCTCAGCTGGGCCAGAGGGCCCCTCCCCAGGTCAGCTGTGGGCGCCCCCTCAACTGCCCCAAGAAGGACTGACTGTGGCACCAGCTGTGGTGGAGTTTCAAAGCGATCAAGGGCCACTTCCAAGGGCTTTTAACTAGAGCTGTAGATGGGCTGCAGGAAGCTTCCAACCCTAGTGTGGGGCAGCACAAGGGTGCAGGTGAGCCAGTTCAGAGAGCAAATCTGGGTCTGACTAAGCAGTCACTATCAAATGTTGACCTACTTACATGCACTGGGAGCTATTTTTCTAAATCTTATACCAAGTAAGAATTGACAGGCTGCTCCCGTGGCATAATGGTTAAGTTTGGTGAGCTCTGCTTTGGCAGCCTGTGTTCATGGGTTCGGATCCTGGGCACGGACCTATACCACTAGCCTGCTGTGTCCACCATGCTGTGGCAGCAACCCACATATAAAAAAAAGTGGAGGAAGACTGGCACAGATGTTAGCTCAGGGATAATCTTCCTCAGCAAAAAAAAAAAAAAAAAGAAAGAAAGAAAGAACGAAAAAGAAAAAGAAAAAAGAATTGACCCCGGTTGATTTCTGGTTTTGAAGCAAAGACATACGAAAGTGGAGAGGCAGCTCTAAGGCAGGGTCTCCTGAATGCACCCAAGGGAAGTCCTGAAACTTGGCTCCCAATCCAGCTGGTGGCCAATTAGCCTCTGTGCTGGAGGAGACTTGGACCCAGAAAGCCTAAGGCCCAGGCCCACTCAGGGCTGCTGCTTCAAAGGACACTGCCTACCCATCTTCTGAGGCCACATCACTGGCTGGAGAGAGGCAGGGTGCAAAAGGAGAGTGACTGGCCCAAAGCCCAGGCCCCTCCCGCTGTCAAGTGCTGCCTGGCCTTCATGCCAGCAACAACCACCTGGGATGACTGCACCCAGGAGGCAGCCGCGACGTGAAAGCAACTTTGTTTAATAGTTGTGAGGAAACATTAACCTCATTCTACGGGTGAGGAAACAGAGGCTTGGAGAAGTGAAGTCCCTGCTCAAGGTTCCCGAGCAAGTCAGCAGTGAAGCTGAGCCTGGAACTCAGCTTCCCTGACTCCAAGGCCCGCTCTGCCCTAGCCTCTCTGTCTGAGCCCGAGCAGATCCTGAACCTCTCCACGCCTGCTTCTCTCCATCTGTACCAGGGCCGGAAGCGCTTGCTACCCTTCTTGCTGCAGAAGGGCTCCACTCTGCCCTGGCATGAGAACCAATGCCCCTATTCTCCCACAACAGGAGACTCGAGGCTGCTCTCAGGCCAAGGAGCGGAGCCGCAAATGTGAGGCCACATGTTCTCCTCCCAGGGCTGGGTCAGCCAGCCCTAGCCGGGTCCCAGGAGGCAGGGGTGGAGGTGGGTCTTGCGGACCTTTGAGGCTACCAGTGTATCCCCTGACACCAACAGTCTGTTGCTTCTGCCGGAGCCAGAGCCTTTCCGTAGGAGCTGGTGCAGCTGCTGAAAAGGCCACCTAAGCTTCTCAAATCAGGGTAGTTTTGGAGCTCCAAACACGTTTGTGTTAGACACTGTTTTCTCTCAGAGGCGCAGAGGGTGCAAGTGCCCGAACGCAGCACGCAGCTAGGCCCAGGCGGAGCACAGCAGGGCATGTTGGGCTTCCTGGCACATAGGGCTAGGACTGGGCAAAGGTGGGCCATGGGATTTTCATGGCTCTACATCATTGACAAGAATCACTTTGAAAAAAATTTTTTACAACGATCCCAATTTTTTACAACCATTTCAGTACAACCACTGAAATTATATTTGAGCCTATTTGTATGGGTGCCGTTGCAAACTTCCAGAACAAATAACCATTATGTTGGCACCCAGGGCATGTCATACAGCACCAGCCCCCAGCACTCTGCTTCCCCATGGCTCCATGCAAATGCATGTGTGCCACCAGAGGATGGCAGGGCAGCAGTGCCAGGCAGCATCGTGGTCCCTTTCTGAGGCAGCCCTGTCTCCCTCCTTCTCTGCTCCCACAGGGTACCCATGCCAGGGGAGGCAGATCCAACTCTGTGGGCTGACAGAGCCCAGCACAGCTCCTGCTGCTGAGCTAGCTCCAGCCTGCACGGCTGGGGAGGGGATGCTGGCCACGGGGCTGCAGACAACCCTGAGAGGCATTCCTCTCCTGAAAACCAGCATGGCGCCAAACCCTCACAGAAAGTACCTGGCAGGAATGAATTCCCAGAGCAGAGATTTATTCCCAGGGTGTCTTCTCAATATTCCCAAGAGTAAATGGTTGGGAACAGGGAGGTTTTCCTGTCTAACTTGAGTTACATAAGGAGGGGCGCCTCACTTTGGGAACGTCTGCAGGACTAAAGTGCAGAAGAGCAGGGGGATCAGCTCCTCCCATGTCTGCTCAACCCTCTGGGGCAGGCAGGGAGGTGCCAACAGCCGGGACCACAGGAAGGGGATGGAGGCACGCAGCACACACTCAGATTCACAGCCTCTGTCTCAACACACATGCTATAGGCCAAACCAAACACAGGAGGGGACACTGCAAGTCTCCTCTCCTCTCAGACCACAAAATGCCCCTGAAGTCGAACACTGCCACCTTCTCATCCTTCACAGCTCTTCTCTAGGGACCCACGCACTGGGCGGGGGGCCTCAGCAGGGTGCTGGAACAAGGCGGCATGGTCCCTGACCCCCTTCTACCCAGCCCTGTGCTGGTCCCCAACTTCAAGACTACCACAGTGCCCTAGAGGCAAGTCCTTCCTCCAAGGAGCCATTCTATAAAGGCCATTTGGCAGGAGGCACAGCCCTGGGGCCAATCCCACCCACCCAGTGGTTCCCATCCCATCAGGGAAGGAGGAGCAAGGCCCGTGTCCCCACAGCCCTGGTGAGATGAGTGCCATGTGAACAAGGGCCCGGGGCCTTTCAACACTGTCACTACCTCCCCAGGGCTCCATGTTAATGGTCCTCTAAGTCCACCAATTTGGCTCATTTCAGCAAATATTTTGTCACCAGCATATCACTGTAAAGGTGAAGAGAACATGAAGAAATCAAGCTACGAGGTCAGCATGCAACCTCCTAATGTTAGTAGGGAATGTGGTTGAACGGTTGCCACCTGCCCCCTCCCACGTGGGATGGCCTGGCACATGGTCCCCACTGACCCCCACCATCAACCTATCTGGATTCCCAAGGGTGATGAACCCAGCACCAGTCACAACCTTCCTATGACCATCAGAAGAACGTGCCATAATGATGCAGGTGTGAGGCAGGCATGCCAGGGCTGACTGCACAGGAGCTGCTCTAGGTGGCCACAGACACCAACAGCCAGTCCATGAAGACTTCTGACGGCCCGTCAGTGTCCCCATTTTGCAGGTGGGAAAATGCAGGCACAGAAAGGTAAGGTGCTTTAGCCCGCCCTGGTCCTCCATGGCTCCCAGGTGGGCTAGCTGGCAGGTGGCAACCCTGAGCATGTCTTGGAAGCACAGAATCACCGTGAGTCCATGAGGTTAATGAACAGCCGCAACATTGCCCGTGTCACCCCAGACCCAGCACCCCCCCTCACCAAAACAAAGCGACTCATCACCCGAAGCACCCTCCCCCGAGATTGGTGTGCCGCCCTGGGCTGGCAGTAGGGAGAACAGGGACTGTACCGTCCGGCGTCGCCTGCTGGTGGGGTTTTTTACATTTGACGTAATCGTGGTCAATCGGAGTGGCTGTGTAAGGTGGGGATGTCAGACCTGGGCCAGAGGAGGAGGGGAGGGAGGCTCCGGGGCCCGGCAGTGTCCCAGCTGAAGAGTGGGAGTCCTCATCCACCAGGCAGGCCTTCTCCCTGTGGAATAGAGGGTTGAGGTGCAGGTCAGAATCTCCACACACTACTGAAAAAGGATGTGTGCCAGTCTGGGACAGTGTCCTTCCTGGCTGCTGAACCCCAGGCCACCTTCAAGGGCCTCCTCCACCCTCCCCAGGGCCTGCTGCTCTCACGCACCTCTGGTGACATTCACCCCCTCTGGCTGGTGTTCTGCGGTGCTGAGGGAGCCACCCCCACAGCATCCACTTGGGCTCCAGCCCTAACCAGGCGGTACCCAACCTTTGCGGCTGGGCTCTGCTGGAATCTCGGGTCTCAGGCCCCAGGAGACTACAGGGGACCTGATGAGCCCTTCTTCAGAAGCACCCACCCCAGCACCTCTCCAAGCCAAGTCAGTGACCTGCTGTGTGACGCCTGAAGCCTGACAGATTTAATCTCCGACAAGCGTGCAGATAGCAAACATCTGGATTTACTGCATGCTCACCCATGTACAAGGACATCAGCTACAACACTGTTGAGCAAAAATGTTAGCAACACCCCAAATGTCCCTCAAAATGGTTACAGAAAACATGGTGCATCTGTGCAATGGAATAATCCACAGCCACAGACCCCCAGGAGCCACTAGAAAGAATGGAATGAATGGGGCACTATCTCTATGGACTGGTCCCAAATCATCAGGAGGGAAAAGCAAGCTCTATAACAACACCTTCAGTAGTTCACTGTAAGGAAATAAAAGAAAACCTGCAATTGTACGTGCACACATAAGCGTGTGTAAATGCACAGACAACGATCCGAGGAACTAAACTGAATAGTGGCTAACTCTGGAGAGAAGGGACTTGTCACATTTTAGTCTATATGTCCATATAGACTGCCAGAATTTTCTATAACTAGAATATATTTGTGTATTATTTGTATAATTTTTAAATTAAAAAAAAGAATCCTGATCAATAAAAGACAAAATCATTGTACCTTCTGGGCCCTTTGTGACTAAAAAAATACATATCTATAACTTCTCGGCACCCTGTGTCCACCTGCCCTGCATGCCTCGTGTGTGCCCATCTGCCACATAAGCCGAGGGGCCTTGAGAACAGGCCCTGGCATGGGTCTCTCTGGCACTTGTCTGAGCCCTGCACAGTGCCTGGACAGGCAGGGGCTCAGAGATGGAGCCAGCTGAGCTGAAGCTCCAGGATGCAGACACCAGGGTGAAAGAAATCTGGGTCACAGAGACGACTCACCATCAAGGGGTGGCACAGGGGTCTTTCCCAGGCCCACTGAGAGGACCACGTTAGGGCACCAGTGTCCCCAAGCTCTCTGGCACCAGAGGAGGAGCCCACACCCCTCACACCCCTCCCAGCTTCTCAGGAGAAAAGGCACCAGACCAGGCCCTCAGAGGGACCCCACCCTTGGCAGAGGCCCTGGAAGAGGACGCAAGGGTAAGGGCCTGCAACGTGAAAACTGCTTTCCTACAGTGTTCTGCACAGGGCAGAGCTGTGCCCCAGGATGAGGGAGGGAGTCGGCTCCACCCCCAAGACCTGCCCCTGAGGATGGGGCAGCACGAGGCATGGCCACAGGGTGAGGGGACCAGGAACTGCACACTCAGCCTCTCCTTCTCAAGTTCCACAGAAGTACCCTGGCCCAGCCCTTGGGAGTCTCCAGACGAGATCCAAGACTCCATGAGCTCTGGGCTGCTCAGTAGAACCCCCTGCACACCACCTTGCTGTAAACGAGCCAGTTAGGGTCTACGCGGGCTGGGTGGCTGGGTGAGAGTGTGCTACTCACTTTTCTGAAGCTTTGGGTGTATTCTTCTCCTCGCCCCTGGCAAAGGGTCCTTCTGCAGCCTCCTTCATAAAGCTGACAAGGACCTCTGCACCAACCCCAGAATCAGGCTTCCCCAGGAGCTTCAGGATGGAAGCGTGGAGCCGGAAGTACACCTAGGAAAGTGACACTCGGTGTGAGCAGCCTTCCTAGTTGCTAAGGTTCATCCCACAGGCGGGTCAGCCACACTCGAAACTGGCCCCTGACAAGGGAGACAGGCCACCACAGACTGCCTTTTATCATTAGCTTTTAAACCAGCCAACTTTTAACTCATTCAAAGAAAGTTCTTATGATTAAAAAGGACACGAGCTGTCAGCAGTCTGGCCTAAATGTTTACCCAGTAACCCAGAACATCATGGTAAGATAACAAGAGTACCACCCTCAGCTCCACTCACTGGGCACCTCCTGCCCGCTCGAGTGCACCCCTCTCCTGGCATCCTGAGAAAGTGAGCCTCCCCTTCTGTTTCCCAACTGGACTGTGGAACTCCCTGAGGTGAGAAGTAGGCTGGATTTCTGTTTGTGTCCCAGCACCGGGGCAAGCCAGGTGCCACAGGCCTCGAGAAACCCCCCAGTGTGTACAGGGCACGTGGGATGTGCACTCCATCACTTGGGGCCTGTGCTTCCCTTCACTTCCCAAAGTCCTCACCAGATTCCTCCATTTACAAATGTGTGACATGAGCTGCCCAAGGCCCCAAGCCAGGAAAGTCCAGGGCCAGGTTAAACCTAGGTCCGTCCTGTCTCCTGCCCTCTACTGCCCCCAAGTAAATGCCACACCACACACAGCTACCTCCACAGGTGACATGGCCTGACCTTCCCACCCAGGTGTGGGTGCAATGCAGGCTCCCACATGTGGCACACACTCCCACGGATGGCACGATGGGTGCCACAGGCCTGAGAACCACTGTGGCTGCAGGCCCTGATTAACCAGCCTCCCTCACCCAGAGGGGCTTCTCAAGAGACATCACCGAGGACCTCCCCGGGTGAGATGCCTGCTGGTCCAGCCTGGGAAGCACTCTCAAGTACTCTCACATCCAGAATCCCTACACCTCTACCTGTGGACCCCAGAGAAATGGGTCCAGCAACTCTGTTTTTAGATGTAGGAAACCCTTGAGGCACCCATGCATGCCCAGGCCGCCATACATGGGGGAGGGCAAAGTGTTCAACTGGCAAAGTTTATCCTTGTGGCAGGTAAAGTATTTTGAATGAAGGCTCAATAGCAGAGGGGAATTTTCACCAGGGCAAGGTTAAATTCTTAAGAGAAAAGTCATTTTTAAAGCAAGATATAAACATGTTCCAGCTGAGCGCCCATTATGCTGAGAGCCAGTGTGGTGTGCTGGGGGAGGGCAGCCTACACATCTGAGGCCTCAGTTCCTCATCTGGAAGTCCCCAGGCCTCTCAGGGCCACCATCCTGCCTGCTCACTGGTTCTATCAGGCAGCAGCAGAGGCCAAAAGTTGAAGAAGAAAACATGCAGGAAAAGCAGAGTTGTGTTCCTGAGGGCTCGGTCACCTCCCATCACAGGAGGGTTCAGTGCCGCTGTGCTGCGTGAACGCCCCGGCTCAGCTGCCTTTCTCTCCTGCTGCTGACTTCGGGCAAGTCAGGCCAGTCCTCTGGGCCTCAGGCTTCTCGTCGCTAAGGTGTAAGTCCCTCCAAGGACAGGCACGTTAGCCCAAGTGGAAAGCATGAAAGAACTGATGGGGAAGGTCGTGGGACCTGGGGCTGGGAATGACAGCAACCAGAAAGCTGCTGAAGACACGCTTGATAGGAAGCTGGACTTCCACACTTCTTAATGAATCCCACAAATGTGGCCCCAAAACAGTTGCTATAAACCACTCAGCATGAATCATTTTAAGAAGGCAAATTTTTAAAAATGAGACTTTTTTGTTTGCTCACAATGGTCATAGATCAGTATAGCCTTTCAGGACAATGGAACAATGGGACGTTGTTGATCTACTGTTAAATGACCTTTGGAAATACTTTTGTGAGTGCTCCCTGATATGTGTGCAAGGCCATGCCACCTGTACCATCACGGAACAAGTGGAAGAGAAGGCCAAACTCATGAAGAAGGGACTGGGCATTAAGTGGATGCCCAGCCAGACTAGAGGGCACAAGGACAAGGAAGAAAGCCCACAACTCCTGCTACATCTTACAAAAAGGAAAGTTGCAAAATGGCTAAGAAAATGTTACTACATATCTATATGTTAATATGAAAAAAATATAGAAAGAAAAGGACATGGCCAAACAATTAACAGGGATTATTGGAGTAGGAGGACTAGGATCACTGAGGACTTTAAATTTTCATCTTAAATACTTCTGAATTGTTTGATTCTTATAATTCTTTTAATCAGGAATATCACACAAAAAAATTTTGTAATCAGAAAAAAATACATAAAGGCAGAAAAAGCATAAGCAAACAGATTCTGCCCCAAATTCCAAGAAGCTTGCTGGGCATGTGGGATTGGCAGGGGCTGGGCACACGGCCTCAGAAAGGGTGGGTGAAGTCAACGTGCTCAGAGTCTCAAAGTGGAGAGTCCTGGGCCAGACCAAGCATATCTGGGTCCACACCTGTGTCCTTGGTTTCCTCCGTACAAAATGCACTGTCATGGCCACTCAGCCCGCCTCACAGGACTGCCACGAGCCTCAGTGAGAGCATCATGTGAAATGTCCTCGAAATCGTAAAGGCAAATCCAAGCACTAAACAAGTGCTCTGCTCTTGAGGAGCAGTGGGAGACCCTGAATCTGTGGTCGAGAGAGCAGGTTGCTTCCCTGGCTCTATCCTGCCAACTGGTGCTCCGGTTACACCCTGTGGCCTCAGTGGGCCTCGGATGTCTCATTTGCACCCCGGGGACAAGGGTGCCTGCCCTCCTCCTACTAGCCTGCAGGGTGTGAATGCACTGGGGACTGCGCTGATGCCATCATCAAGCCAGGTTCTTGGAACTTGTATGTGCTAATAAGGAAAGACGATTTTCTCCTGGGAGATAAGAACAAAAAGGCTCACTCTCCCAGAAAGGATAGTAAGCACCCCTTGGAAAGAGAGAGGAAACGCTGTTTTAATTTAATTGTACATAAAGTTGCTGAACACAGAGAAGTTTCCAGCAGGTTGCAGGGGAGTCATGGGGACCTTGTGCTCCAGTCCCAGGGAGACAGAGAGACCGGCCCACCCCTGCCCTGCTTCCCTGCCCCAGGCGGGCACAGTGTCACCTCCAGGGCCTCCATGGCCAGCTCAGGCGGATTGTGGTAGTGGATCTTCTTGGGATAGCGGGCGGCCTCCTCGTGCAGGTAGTGGCCAGCCTGCCTGTAGTGCAGCAGGTACACGGCAGGCGGCTGCTGCTGCTTCTCGGCCACCTTGCCCAGCATGTAGTGAATGAGCCACTCCTCCTCATCGCCATCGCCCTCACAGTGGGCCGCTGACGTGAAACAGTGCCTGGCTGTCTCCAGCATGCTGTCCCGCCGGCTCTCCATCTGAAATGAGACCATGGCCTTAACCTGTGCAGGAACACACGGTATCCTGCAGGAAGGCCTGCTACCTTGTCTGCAAATTTATAATCCTCTCAACAACCCGGAGACACAGAAGTGCTATCACCATTCCACAGCTGGGGACACCGAGTGTGGAGAGGCCTGGGGACTCCTCAAAAGCACACATCGAGTAAGGCACAGAGCTGGACTGAAACCCAAGTCACCTCACATCAACTTGTGTTCTTTCTTCGACCTTTCCCCCACAGTATCTAACACAGTTTGCATGTATGAAGTACCTACTGACCCCCCGCAAAGGCCCCAACTATGACTTATGTGGCTGCAGTGAGGCCCTATGCCTGGGAAGGGGAGATAGCGTGGGGCTGGGGCTGCCTGCCATCACTGCCAGGAGGACCAGGCCAACAGCAGCTCTGCTACGTCAGTCTGAGAACACCAGGCAGCCAGAACTGATGTTCTTTTTTTTTTTAAAGATTTTATTTTTCCTTTTTCTCCCCAAAGCCCCCCAGTATACAGTTGTACATTTTTTTAGTTGTGGGTCCTTCTAGTTGTGGCATGTGGGATGCTGTCTCAGCATGGCTTGATGAGCAGTGCCATGTCTGCGGGTTGTTCAGGATCTGAACCAGTGAAATCCTGGGCCACCATAGTGGAGTGCACGAACTTAATCATTCGGCCACAGGGCCGGCCCCAGAACTGACGTTCTGAGATGAGCGTCCATTGCAGGCAGTGAACACCTTGTTCTGCTGCCCTTGCACAAGGGTGGGCAAGCAGAGCTGGAGAGGATGTGCACCTAGCTCTACAGTACCGGAGAGGACGTGCACCCAGCACCCAGCCCACAGCACTGGAGAGGACGTGCACCCAGCACGCAGCCCACAGCACTGGAGAGAACATGCACCCAAGACCCAGCTCCACAGCACTGGAAAAGACGTGCACCTCTGGGGTACAACAGGACTTCTCACCTCCTCCATACCCTTCCAGAGGAACCTAGGGTGCTTGTAAAGGGAGGCTCCTTGAGACCCATGCAAGACCCACCAACTCAGAGCCTGTGACTTTGTCACAGCGTCTCCATCCGCCCTCTCACACAGCAAAAGGTGCAGACAGTGAGGACAGAAGGTCAGCTTCCAAGAGGCTTTTCCACTTAGAGAACCACTTTTTCCAGTCCCTGTCTGAGGGGCTCCGGGCCAGCATTCTGGGTGCTATTCATGCAGGATGTCCACTATCAGATGCACACACGTCCCTTCATCCCCGAGCTCCTGGGCTGGGGGCTGGAGCGAAGACTGCCTCTGTGGGGCTGCAAAGGCAGCTGCTCCAGGCGTCCCAGGTCTCTGGCCCCTCTTCTCCATGGCCCCAGCTCAACAGCAGGGTAACTGTGGACTCTTCTCATCTCATCCCAGGGGACAGAGGAAGGGAGAGGCTGCAGGTGCTAGGCTGTGACAGAGGTGCTGCTGGCAGCCTGTGAGAGCAGTACCTATTCCCTGCTGCACACAGGCAGGCGGCCCTCTGGATGTCTTCCAGGAGATGCTTATTTATGTGAATCATCTGTAGCAACGGCCCTGGGGCTGACACAAGGAGCTGAGTGCTACCCAACTGCTCTGCCAGATACTTCTTGGGAAAGAAACTTAGCACTTAGGAATTGACAGACCATCACTGGGTGAAATAGGGTAGAAAGAATCACAGTGCAGGGCCAAAACACAGCACAAACCAAGTGACTCCTTCACATTCCCTCCAAAATGGGATTCTGGGACAAATCTGTGTAAATAAGAGGTGATTGCTTAAATGGAGTCCTTCTACTCTCACTGCTCCACAGCCGTGTGGCCTTGACCAAGTCACTAGCCCTCTGGCCACCCAGCTCTGCCACTGGGGCTCATATGGCCACTTACTGAGAAAGGGAGGGCAACTGTGAAGAGCCGCGACCTGGACTGACACCACACAGATCCCCACCAAGAGACCGAGTCCCCTCCCTGCCCCACATAAAGCACACACCACCACTGTCCCCGTCCTTGGTAGGTGTAACAGTGAGAATGCTTCAGACAGGAAGAGGCGGGACGGCCACTGAGGGTCCACTGTGTTCTAGAAGCTCTGCTGCACACCCACAGACTGCCTCTCCATCCTCAGAGCAGGATGTGCAGCCTCCGCTATGGTACCTCATTCACCCTGTGGCTCAGAAGATGTCAGCTCTCACAACACTGCTGCAGAGAAGGAATGGTCAGCCCATCTACAGCCAAAACCACAGCAGGGATGTCAAGCTCCTCCCTCAGGCCACAGCTAGAAGGTTCTGCCTCCAAAGCCTCTCCCCTTGCCTGAGAATTGACAACATGGGGAAACCATTTGTTTTCCTACAATAGACACCTTCGGTGAGTTTGAAGGCAGAAGCTTAAGCGCACAGCAGCTCAGGTAACTGTCAACAGGTGTCCTACAGCCCATCCAATCAGACACAACAAATCCAGACATAGCTCTAGCAACCAAGGGGCTGTGTCCCCGGGACACACGTGTGGGTGGGAAACTGCCACCCCAGAGGTGGACAGAACCCAGGAGGCACAGGGCAGCCCTGTGAGGCAGTTTTCCCCCTGGCAATGATGTGAAACCTCCCTCCCTCCCTCCCTGCCTGCAGGGACAGCTACACCCCTGGCAGATTTTCATCTCTCTCCTGCCACCCCTGACACTCCCAAGAGATGGCGTGGGAGCCCAGTTTCAGGACTTGAGCTACCCAGGTCAACGGCTTCCAACGGATCAACATGGAGCTCAGCTGCAGAGGCCAGGAACTACTCAGCGGAAGAACAAGGCAAGCAGAAGAGGTGTGTGGGGAGTCGACATGGGCCTCTTGTCTGCCACCCACTTCTTGCCTTCCCTGCCCCTTCCTGGGGGAGCCACAAGTTCCCTCTTCTTGAGAAGCCCTACAAACAAAATCCACAAGTGCTAATGGCAGAAAGGGCACTCAAACTTCTCATCACATGTATTTCCTGGAAAACCTCCATTCTGTTCAACCTTACTGGGCATCACTGGCAGAAGGTGAGGGGAAGCATACCAAGGATGGTGCCCCACCCCCCACTGAGCCCCAGTGGAGGGTAATGGTGTTCCTGGTGTTTGTTGCAGGGAAGGCCTGCCTGGCCCTGGGGCCACTGCAACACAAACAGAATCAAGTGAGGGGCCTCTGCACAGGTCAGTCACAGAGACACAGGGTTGCACGGGCATGGGCAGAGCTCAATAACATGGTGCTGAGTGGAAAAGGAAGCTGAACACCACATACACTACGGCAGCATTTAGGCTAGAAGAAAGAAACTAACGGTTAATCATGGGGTTTTTTCTAGGAGTACACATGTATGCATGAAACAGTATTTTTTAAAAGATATCTGGAAAGATACAAGTCCTTCTGTCCCTCTGAGGCAGGGGTGAAAGGACTAACCAGATTGGGGTTTGGGGGCAGTCAAAAGATTGTGGATTTATCCTCACTGTTGTAATTGTTTTAAAGAAGAATGTGTCCCTTGTATAACTTAAGAGTCATTTTTTAAAGGAGAGGACAGTTAAAACAAGGGGCACACTGGCTCTCCTCCCCCCATTTTTTCCCCCTGGTGAGGCCTTTTAACAAGCTTCCCTCTCCCACCAAAAGAGGTTCTGATGCCCAGACAGGTGTGGGAGCCAGCGTCCTTGCTGACCTGTAGGGCTCACACAATCTGGGCCAAGAAAGAGTAGGAAAACCTTGGGGCCAAGGTGCCAAGAGCCTGGAACCCTGAGACAACCCTTCTGGGCTCAGGGGTGGTGATACCTAGAGCTCATGGGAAGAAGGTGAGGTCACTGGACGAGACCTCAAACAACAGCCTGAGTCGGGGCCCAGGGTCGTGCTTCCGGCCTGCCCTTGCAAGTGTAGGTGATGTGCAGAGACTGTAAAATATGCAGAGAGAGAAGGGGATCTCAGCCTTTTTAAGGCTTTCTCAAAGTGTATCCCACAGCACACTGACGTCCAGCAGGACCCCATGTCTGAAAAATCCAAGGCCCCAGGGGCTGGCCCGGTGGCACAGAGGTTAAGTTCGCATGTTCCGCTTGTTGGCGGCCCGGGGTTCGCTGGTTCAGATCCTGGGTGCGGACGTGGCACCGCTTGGCAAAAGCCATGCTGTGGTAGGCGTCCCATGTATAGAGTAGAGGAAGATGGGCATGGATGTTAGCTCAAGGCCAGTCCTCCTCAGCAAAAAGAGGAGGATTGGCAGTAGTTGGCTCAGGGCTAATCTTCCTCCAAAAAAAAAAAAAAAAAATCCAAGGCCTCACAGCTGTTGGAGCAGGAAAGGACATGGAGGCGACAGCCATCACAGCACAAAAATGTTCACTGTTTGAGTTTGCAGCACCTCCATCCAGCATTTTCACGAAGGCCCATTTCTGCCCAGTTGATTTCATTAGTTTTTCAGTCAGTCTCTCACTGATTTTCATATTTAACCTGATAATATAATACAAATCTACTGCAAAGTAAAACTCTTTTTTTTGCAAATCTTGTGAAAGATGTGGGATTTCATGAAGTTGATGAAAATGATGAAGGCAAAGCCTTTACACCTGAGGACCAGGCACAATTAACATGATTGACAACTTCCCAAAGAAGGGAGGACAACTGGCCAAGGAAAAGACCACAACACGATCTTCAAAGGCACAAAGGACTCACAGAATCCTGGCAGAGGGATGTAGCCCTTGCATATTTCTACAAAAGTAACCTCGTGGATTTACGTTGCAGAGGTGAAGGAGGTCATATCATGTTATCATAAGACTTGGAAAATTAAACTCCCCCAAACCAACCAAACTTAATCACCATTTGAACTTGTACACTAAGCACACCTCACTTTCATAATCAGAAGTGACACAGAGCTGTTACCTCTCTGCAGGGCTGGGACCTTCCCTACTTATTAGCACAACGCTAGGAGGTCAGGGGCATCGCGAGGCCAAGGAGAGTGGGAGCCTGTGTCTTGCTCTGTAGGGTAGCAGGGGGCAGCAGGGCCCCGGGCATGATGACACAGGCCCCCCTCGAGGACAGAGGGGCTTTCAGAGGACAATGGCGGCACGGCTGTGGCTGAGAGTCTCAGTGATGAGTCTCAGTCTCTCTCATCTAGTCCTCCTAGCAATCCCATGACAGTGTTAACAAGGCCATCATCTTGTTTTGGGTTTTGACTGCAGATGTCACTACAAGATACAGATCCCTTCGGCATTCTGCTTTCCTGGGACACCGTTCTGGGCTGTGGTGTCCTACTGCCACACCAGCCTAAGTGTGCTGGTGTGACTCCTTCACTTCCATCTCAAGGAGTCAGGGGCACCTTGCTGAACACAGACCTCGGCATCCCACACCAGGGGAAGCCCCTACCAAGAGGGACTTCACAATTCCCAACACAGTGTCAAGGATTTTACAAGGACTCAATCAGCAACTCTGAGGGAAGAGGAAAGAAACAGCTACTTCCGGTGGTCAAGCCCCTCCCCTGCCTCTCAACTGCCCTAAAACTGATAGCTGACCAGCCAGGTCACAAGAGCCTGGCCCTGAATTCACCCACACTGGACGGGGTGTCCAAAGACCAGGGACCACACTGTTACTGACCACAGCATGGCTTGAGTCTCCGGGGAGAATCACCTGTGAGCTCCCAGCAAAGTCGTAAAGACAAGAGCAAAGAATGGACAGGACAGGACTTTGCTGACCCCGAGAGTGCTCCAGTCACACAGAAGGATGGCAGCCCCCCGTGGCAGCCCTCCTCACCTGCTGCACGAGCTCAGGGGGCAGTTCAGCTCTCCACTGCTTCAGCTGGCGTGAGGCGAAGGAGTGCAAGGCGTAGGACATGGTGCCGTACTCAATCCACAGGGACAGGTTAGAGCTGTCAATCTCCAGGGCCCGCCGGAAGCAGTTCAGGACGGGTGTGGCATGCTTCCAGATGGGCCCATCACTCTTCAGCTCATTGGAGTTCAGCTTGTCCTGAATGCGACTGGCCCGGGCCAGGGCCATGCCTGCCCAGGAATCAAACCTGTGGTCATGACAAAAGCACTATAAACAGACCACTCCCCTTACAGCGGTGCAGACATGACAGCCTGGAGGACAAGGCAGACATCACCGTGGGAGCCCATCTCCCAGACCAGGCTCAGAGCCCAGTTCTGCCATTCACTAATCCATGACCATGACCTGACCAACTGTGTCTCTGAGCCTCGGTTCCTAACCCACAAAATATATCTAAGATGACCTACCTCACAAGAAGAGCTGCTGGGGCACCACAAGACATGCATGTTAAGTCAGCCAGTGCCTCACAGGCACTCAGCAACTGCTCTCAGAGAATCATCACCAACCCAAGCCCAAACTGTGCTCCCCAGCACTGATGGGCTCCTGGACTCTGCTCCCCTGCTTTGAGAGGTTACCCAGAGAATGTCTCTGATGGAAAGGAAAAGGGGTGTTCCAGAAGGCATCGCAGCAGTGGCCCAGCCAAGACAACGGGAAGGCTCCACTCCAGCTTACCTAACCCCACACTGGCAGAGCCTGCCGTCAGCTCACTCACTGACTAGAAGTACAGGGCAGCCGAGGCCCCTGAGACTGCCACCACCCGGCTTCTACCCTGTTCTCCCTCTGGGACCTTGAGTAGACCCTGCCGTCTCCAGTTTAGTTCCCAGCAGCAAGATGTAGAGTGAGGGGACCACAAGATAGCTGAGACCCTACCATTCTGAGATCACCTGAAAGAAACCTAGGATGAGAATGCAGAAGTCTCTCTGAGAGAATGAAGAGTCACAGAGATACCAAGAACAAAACCATTTCCGGGGACTTGAGACAGTCTGGAATTTTCTGAGCACCACTACAGAGAACAGAAAAGGCAGCAATCATGTGGACTGATGCTACCTTCCACGTGCCAACAATTCTTAACCGGCTGCTACACTAACCTGAACACTGGCTAACTGGCTTCCTGAACCATTGGACAGTCCCTGAGGTGGGGTAAGGACAGAGGAACCTTGTGAAGCTCACACGTGCTTTTGCTGCTCCAGGCACCCAAAGAAGAGAAGGTGAGAACAAAGGAACAGTGAGAGACCTGAAGGCTTGACGATGACAGGAGGACAGCACAACTGAAGGCTTCACCCCTTGTGTGGGGGGTCCTGAACGTACCCTTTCCTCCTCAGGAGCCTGCGGATCTGGGGCTACAGAGTCTTCCCCGTAGCTCAGGCCACCCTGGGGCAGGGAGCATGGGGGTAGACGTCAAACTCCCCTTCAGCCAGGAACTCTGTCAGGGCCCTTCCACCAGGGTCAGCGCTCCTTGCACACTGAGGAGTCTCCTCTCTCAACTCCCGGAGTGCCTTCAGCAACTCCCTTTGCCCTCGCCTTGAGGGAAGAGACCACATCACGGCGCGTGCCCACGTGCCTGCATGAGTACCAAAATGGAAACCGCTATCTCCTGCCACAGATAAGGACACAGATGTGTCGTCATGAAAACTTAAAATGCTCCTCTGTGTGCCACCAAGAGCCATGTCCTGCTGTGAGTCCCCAGTCCTAGCAGAGCAGTGCAAAACCCACACTTGAGGAGTGCTCACCTACAGGGACGCGCGGGGCCTGAGGGCTGGTGACAATGTCAGCTCAGAAGGAGGACGTGTCCAGAGCGGCTGCACTGGGCTTTATTTACTTATTTTGTTTTTTATTTATTCTTTTAAAAGTCTTGCAAAAATCTTTAGGAAATTAATACGAAATGGTAGAACACAAAAATCTTGTTGCCTTGTTTACTCCCCCTCTGTGGTAAAGCAAACAAAAACGTTAACCTGGAATTTAAATTAAGGAAAGCTATATTGGACTAGGTAAGGCCAAATATTACCTAACTTGCCATTAACTTTTTAAAAACAAATCAAGTATCTCTTCTCTTCTCTCTCTCCCCTGCACTGGGCTCTTACTTCTGCAGGGCAGGCCTGGTCTGGGCTGGGCTCAGAGTGGTTTCTACGGCAGAGGGATGAGCCATACTGGGCCCCTCCCAGCCTCCCCCTTCCAAATGCCACTCCAGAAAATGCCTGCCAAGTTGGCCCACTTCCAGTTCAGCAAGAGCAGAAGGAATGGTGAACACTGGTAGAGAAAAACACTATCACTAGTGTCCTCACAACTCTGTTTTCCTGCAGGAATCACGAACAAACACTGCAGCCAGAAGACTCTACTATCCACCCAGCCATCTCCTGTGGGCTTCACCTGCAGCCAGTGCGCTCAGAAGATTTAAAGAAAAAAAATCAAAATCTGAACTTCCCCTTTACCTAGCACAGAAGATCAGACTGAGCCCAAGTCTCCCCCGGCACCTGCCTGTTGGGGTGAGACCGGAGGAGGCCCAGAGGCCAGTGCTCAGAGGAGACCCCGCCTCTCCAGCAGGGCTCTCAGCAAGCCAGGCCTGATGGGGTGATACTACCTGAGCAGGTGGGTGTGCAGGTTGGAGAGAGGCCCAGTTGAGCCATCATGACCCTCACGTCGTTGACAGAGGGCTGTCAGGTGAGAGATGCCACACCAGGCTCCCACCTTCCCATGGACAGGCGGTTGTTACCCCCCTCACTTCTCAGACGTGGAGCAGCGGTGCAGACAAGGTGGCTACTCGCTGTCTCGCGCACTGAGCACCAGCCAGCCTGAGCGCAGATCTGCTCCACCGCACTGATCCACAGTGTGCCTGGGGAGGACAGCCAGGGCCCAGCACACAGCTCTAGCCTGGAGGAAACCACAGGCTGAGCAAAAGGGGACCTGGGAGAACCTTTCCCACAGCTACAGAGTTGTGCAAACTGGCTTCTCCCCTCAGATCCCAGCTCCTCTCCCCTTGGCCCGGTGGGTCCTGACAAGGTAGAGCTCTCCAGCTTCCCCTGAGTGAAGGAGGCTCCATGCTCACCCATAGTCCAAGGGCGGCCACTGTGGGCTGACCCCTGCTACTTCTGGGAGGGCTGCCTATAGAGGCTACTCTGGATCCTTCAGATGCAGGTCAGCCACAGAGGGTGGCCTTGTTTTGACCATGACCTAAGGCTGTGGCAGCAATGAGAAAATATTCCCTTTCAATTAAGCAAATCAGACTTTTTGAGCTTAGCAGGGCCCTTCAGGATGAGCAGGCCAATCACTACATTGTAAGAAAAAGCCACCAGGGCTGAGTGGGAAGAAAGCATGAGCCTCACGTACAATGAGCTCTCCTACATAGACCTTCGTGACAATCGCTACTGCCAACAACACACTGCATCAGAACAAGGAAAGAGAACTTCTCCCTTGAGTGGTTTCCATTACCCTTCCTCCTCACCCAAAAAATAAGAAAACAACCACAATTTAAGACACTGCAGTGGAAGAAGCAAGGGTACATATCAGCCAACTTCCCAGGAAAGGAGGCAGCACAAAACCAACAGAAGGGAGCCAGGCAGCACCTCCTTGCCCTGCAGGCCTGGACCCAGATAGATACCTCCTACCTTCTTTGATTCCAATGCCTGTCTCAGGGGTTTTCTGGAAAGAAGCCTTCTCTGCTGGTCTTCTTTTTACAGAGAACCTGCCTTTCCTAGTAACAGCAGATGCTAAATCACCTCCTCCTTCCTTTCTCCCTGGTCTCTGTGCTATGGGCAGGGAAATCCCAAACTGGTCTAGGGAAGAGCGTGCTGAGCTCCCTGCAGCCAGCCTGGCCCCACACTCAGTCACCAACCTGTTGGGGCAGACGCAGATGTCATGCATGTAGAACTTGATGGCCTTGGACTGCTCCTTGTTTTTGAAATGGTAATCAGCCAGGAGGTAGTACAGCTCATTCACCACTGGAGGGGAGGGGTCAGCCCCTTCTGGGAGGCAGGGTACCTGGCAGGTGAGAGGGCAAGGATAAGGGGAAGTGGAGGCAGGGACTCTGGCGTGACCAGTTATGCTGCAAACCCAGGATCATTCACATCAGGAGGGAACAGATTCTCATGGCCTGACTTTTGGTGCAAAGAAAGAAGCCAAGGCACGTAAGCAGCAGCGCTGGAGGAGAAGGGGATGGGACGCAGCCCCATCACCCTCCCCATCAGTGCCTACCTCAGCTGAGGTCCCCTCAATGTAGGCTGAGACTCTGTCCAGGCTCAGGGCTGGCCTCTCGGTGCGGGGCACAATGGTGGCAATTCTCTTCAGGAGGTTGGCCAAGTCAGCAGACACAGTGCTGGTTTTGTAACTGTCAAATTCAGGAAGGGTCTTGGGCTTAAAATACTCAAACATAAACAGGGCATCCTCCCATATAAGGTCCACCTTGAAAAAAGACAAAAGGCAGATCACAGTGCAGTCAGGGTAAAGCACAAAGGGAAAGTTCTTCCACAGAAATGCAGTGTCAAGGCAGACAAGGTTATAATATATTAGCCTAAAACAAGTCCTGTATCCTTTAAAAAATCTGTGTGCCCACTGTAATCCTCAAACTCGAGTGTCTGAAGCGCAGAAAAGTGAACTGGTAGAAGCGTGGTCTTTATAAAAACAAATGTTAGAGACTGAGGGCTGCACTTTATGAGTCCACATGGCTGAACCAGAGGGTGGGATCAATCAGCAGTGGGGACTTTGGGCAGGTTACTGACCCTCTCCACGCCTTAGCTGCCCCCTTGGTCACTTGGTCGACAAAGACTGACCAAGTGCTTGCTCTGGGCCCGGGGGTCCACACTCTGTGAAGGGGCTGCAGCAGGAGCCCTGTCCAAAGCAGCTTACATTCAGAGCATGGAATCTATAAGATCAGAAACTAACTGACAGTATTGAGGAGCCATGAGATAATATACCCAACAGTGCTCTGAAAACCAAAACCACAAAAAAATGAGAAACCTCTAACGAATTATTTGTAATATCCAAATCAGAAAAAAACCTATTGACAACTGCCGTGCTGCACTTTTGAATGATTAGTCAACATTTATGAAGCTGGTTTTTGCAAGGAAGACCCTTTTCCTTTGATCAGACACATCTCTCATCCTCCTGCGCAACTCCAACCTGGGACCTCAGAGCTGAACGCTGGCCAACATGACATCCTCTGCGACTGCTCAGAGCCCCTGCTTTCCCGAGCCCCACTCTTGGGGCAGGGGCAGGTGCAGTGTCCTCACCTGCTGGACCGAGTGCTCCTCCAGGTACCTGGCCTTGCTCTTCTTGCTGGGAAAGCTGTACAGGCAGTAGAAGCACTGCTCCAAGGCTGTCTCCAGCTCCTCCTTGTAGGGGTGTGTGTCTTCAGAGGCGGACACAGCAAGCTCCTTCTGGAGAACTCTCACCTACGGCAGGCAGGAAGAGACACCTGAGGAGAGGCTTGGCATAGCGGGGACCCCAAGGAGACCACCACTCTATCAGCTCTTTAAGTCTGAGGAGGCATGTCTGCTGGGGCTGTTTCCTGGAAAGCACCTGTCACTCACAGCGGGAGCTGCTGCGGACCCACCTCTGGCATTGGCATCCTCAGGGGCCTGCCAAGCTGCCTTCCTTCTAGTATACCCAATCAGTTTCTACCAGCTGCTAGAAGATACTGTATGCCATCTAGGAACTTCTTCACTCATTTGTTTAGCCATTCACTTGCTCCCCATTTACTGAGCACCTCCTTATGCTAAGCATGGTGCGACATAGTCCCCACTTTTAAGAAGCTCAGATTCCATTGGAGGGGAAGTTAATTACACAAATAGTTATAATGTAAGATGCTAAGTCCCATTAGGACTGAGGGAATCTCTCTCAGACAAACAGTAGTGAGGATCACAAGGATGTGAACAATACATGATGTCTACGGATGTGAGAGCCAACGGCTACTGTTATGCCCAACTATTAGCAAATACACATTATTTTGAAGCATCCATGGGAATTTTACCACAACCAGATAAAAAGCAAGTCTCAACAAATACCAAAGACAAGATATAATACAGACTACATCCTCTGAACATAATTCAATAAAATTAGAAATCAATCACATAAAGACAGCAAATATCAAATGTCAAAACTGATGGCATGCAGCTAAAAATGTACTTGGGGAAAACTTATAACTTTCAACACATGTATTAGAAATGTGAACACTGAAATAAGCTTTCACCTCAGTAAGTCAGAAAAAACACTAAGTAAATCGAAAGGAAATAATATTTAAAGTGGCAATTAACGAACTAGAAAGCAAAGAAAAAATAGATCAATAAACCAAAACCTGATAGTTTGAAAAAACTAATTTAGATAAACCTCAGTAAAGATTGCTCTTTTTTAAAAAAGGAGAGAGGAAGCACAAATAAATAACTTTAGCAATGCAAAAGCGGGCATAACTAGAGGTACCACAGGGACTTTTTAAATCACAAGCAAACACCGTGAACAACTTTATGCTTATGTGGGCACTATTCCAAAAATATAATTGACTTAAGAAGAGAAAATCAGCAAAGAAAGAGTCAACAGTTTAAAATTTACTCAAAAAAAAAAGAGAGAGAGCGAGCTCTAGACCAGGGTGACAAATGACGGCCGATGAGGCAGTTCGGGCCATCGCCTGTTTCTATACAGCCCAGGAGATAAGAATGGCACTGACAATTTTATTTTATTTATTTACTTTTGACATTTTTAAATGATTGAGAAAAATCAAAAGAATACTACTACTTTGTAACACAATAAAATTGTATGAAACTCTTATTTCAGCATCCATAAGTTTTTCCATGTTGCTTCACATACAGTCTGTGGCAGCTTTTGTGCTACAATGGGAGCGCTGAGTAGTCGCGACAGGGACCCTATGGCCTACAAAGCCTAAAAGACTTACTACCCGTCTCTTTACAGAAAAACTTTTCCTGACCCCTGGCCAAGAGCATAAGAGAAAAAAAAAGAGCTATAAGGATGGAAAAGGAGGGGAAAAAACAGTTATTCATGGACAACGAATGTCTACATAGAAAAATCAGAGAAATCTACAATCTACTAGAATTAATAAAAGCAACAGCAAGGGAGCTGTGCATAAGAGAAACTTTTTTTTAAAGTGTCCCTACAGGCTTGCTAACACAAAGTAGAAAATTTAATTTTTAAATATTTACAATAGTAATAAAAAAATGATACCTGGGTATAAATCTAACAAAATAAACAGAAGAGTTTTAAGGAAAAAATTATAAAACTGTGTTAAGGGATATGAAAGTATAAGACCTAAATATACAGAGAGATACTATGTTCACAACTGGAAAGAATCACATAAACATGGCAACTCTCCCCCAAATTAATCCAGGAGGTCAATGCTATTCCAATCAAATTCCGTGGGGACGGGGTGGTCACAAAACTTTACAGACTGATCTTCAATGTTCTGGAAGAAGAAAGGGCCAGGAATAGCCAAGAGAATGTGACGAATAGTTGGTGAGCAGATTAATCCTAGCAGGTACCAAGATGTCTCAAAGACAATACAGTATTGGCACAGGAAAAGACACTAAACCAACAGAAAGAAGAGAGCCCAACTACAAACCCTCACACACAAGGACAGAGAATGGAGGGACCTTACAAACCAATGCAGAGGACAGACTCTTCAAGAAAAGGAACCAACTGGTCATCCACATGGAATGTAAAACAGATCGCTACCTTATCTTACAAACAAAAATAAAATCCAGGTGGAATAAAGACCAGATGTGAAAAATAAAAGTGAACTTTTAGATTAATATAGAGAATATCTTTATAATCTTGTGTGAGGAAAGGAGTTCTTAAATAAAGCAACAACAACAACAAACCCTCCAGAAATTATAAAGGAATGGACTGATAAATTTGACATTAAAATTTAAAATTTTGTAAAACAAACACTATATATAAAGCTAAAAGACATGCCACATAAAATTGCATAGAGACAGAACTAAATACACACACACACACACATACACGTAAAACTGGTGAAACATATATATCAGACAAAAGACTGGAATTCAGAGCACATAAAGAACTCTACAAGTCAACAGGAAAAAGAAAAACACCACAACAGAAAAATGGGCAAATTATATGAACAAGCAAATTACCAAAGAGGAAACCCAAAGGGCCAATAAACACAAAAAGATACTCAATCTCACTAATAATCATAAACTATTAAAAAGAAGACTTAAGAACAATGAAATATCACTTCAGCCTCTCAGATTGGTATCAACACTTAGGTCTGTAGTACCTAGAGCTGACAGAGACATGCGGGAATTCCCATACTGCCATGAAAAGTATAAAATTATTTTGGAGAACAATTCGAAAGTAGTTTTTAAAGTTGAAAATGTGCAAATCCTGCAACCTAGTAATTCCTTTCATAAGAATCCACACTAGAGGGCCGGCGGGGTGGTGCAGTGGTTAAGTTCGCCCTCTGCTTCTGTGGCCCTGAGTTTGCAGGTTCAGATCCTGGGCGCACACCTAGTGCAGCTCGTCAAGCCATGCTGTGGCGTCATCCCACATAAAGTAAAGGAAGATTGGCACAGCCATTCCCCCATCTAACCCTTCCCCATCCATCCCATGTTATTTTGAAGTAAATCCTAGATTATCATATCACTTCAGCTGTAAATATTTGTTACCATAAATTTTTTTTATCTATTCTCCTAATGATGGCATTAAGATTGTTTATCCAGTTTTTGTTATAAACTGTATCATGGTTAACATCTACCAGAAGTTGTTTTATGTGTACATGTGACAGTTTCTCTAGTGTGGATTCTTTTTTTCTTTTTTTATGAGGAGGGTTGGTGGTGGATGTTAGCTCAGGGCTAATCTTCCTCAAAAAAAAAAAAATCTCAAATTGTTATAGTAAGATTTTCTTTTTTTATGCAGCTTGCTTTTATTCATCTCAGTTCAGTAAGATACATTCACATTGATACAAGTAAATCTGGTTCATTTATTTTCATTGCTCTATAGGATCCTATTGTGTGAGTACACCAAAATTTAAAACTTTGTGGGGTTTTTTGTTTTGTTTTGTTTTTGGTGAGGAAGACTGGTGCTGAGCTAACATCCGTGCCCTCTTCCTCTGTTTTATATTTGGGATGCTGCCACAGCATGGCTCGATAAGCAGTGTGTAGGTCTGGCGAACCCCTGGCCACGAAGCGGAGAGCACAAACTCAACCGCTACGTCACTGGGCTGGCCCCTAAGTGACATTTTTTTCAAAGGTAGGTTTTTTGGTGAGGAAGATTGCCCAGGATCTGAATTAGCAAACCCCAGGCCACCGAAGCAAACTTAACCACTATGCCACCGGGCAGGCCCCTAATAAGGTATTTTGTATACAAAACTTAAAAACACATGCGACTATGTACTGTTTACTGATACACAATACGTAATAGATAGAAAAACATGGATGAAAAGATACACACCAACTTCAAGAGAGTGAGGGTAATGAGCGTGCTGTCTTTCCCGTTACTTATTTCTATTAGGAGACAGGTTTGCAGCAAATACAGCAGATGGTTGACTTGTACACAATCTGGGTGGTGGTACATGGGACATAGCGTAAGACGACTGTCCAGAAGTTAGTGAAGGCTCCACAGGAGAGGGGCCATTGAGCTGAGTGTGGATGAATGGATAAGAACTCATCAACCCAAACACAATATATGAAAAGAAACATCAACTCAAGAAAAGATGAGATCCAAGAGGATTTCTCCCTCAGAGAACATTTCCAATCCATCCAAGAAAAGAAAACAATCCACACAAAAGGTCTCCCTTATGTCAACCACAAAGCACTCTCAAGACACAATCCTTCCTTCACCTGCAGACCATGAGCCTGGGCAATGAGAAGAGGCAACAATAAAGTACTCACCTTCATAACCCCCACAGCACCCAGAATGATGAGTGCTCAGCAAGCACTTCCGGATCAATGAATGAATGTCTTTAAGTTCATCTATTCAAGAAACATAACTGAGCAGTAATCTACATCACGCACTGCTCAGGGCACCAGGGATCCTTAGATGTTAGACGGCAAGACAGAAAAGGTCCCTGGTTTCAGGGATGCCATCTGCTGGGGGAGGCGCACATGACAGAAACAAATAGCAAGCTGTACAGTAGTAGATGGGACAGAGAGTGATAAGGCCAGGGAAGACCTCTTTGAGAAGGTGCCTTCTCAGCTGAGACCTGCATGGCAAGAAGGAAAGGACGAGCCAGACATGCAGGCCCTGGGAGACAGTGTGGCAGGTGGAGGGCATGGGGGTGACCAGGCACTGTGCAAAGAGAGGACACAGTTAATAAGCAGGGTCTTTGTCAACTTCACACAAAGATGAAGTTGCTGCAGGAGTCAGAGGATCCTGGGCAGGAAAATTAGGAGCTATAAAATGAAATGTAGCAGTACTCCTATCACTTCTACTCCCTCAAATTCACTTGGCAGATCCTGGCAGCTAGAATTCATGCTCAACCAAAAAAGACACAGACTAAGAAAAATCAGGAGTGGGACCATCCCACCTTCGTCTCTTCAGCCTGCCCTTTCCTCTCAGAGCCACTCCCGCCTGACACCAGCTTGCAAAGGTACTAACTTATTCTCAACTTGTCCCCAGTCAGCATAAAGGTGATTGCCTTGTGGAGGGGACCCTGTGGACATAAACAGTGTCTCAGCCCTAACTGGGAGAGGGAAGATGGCAGAAGGGAGTTGCCAATTCCTGGGCAGCATTACAGACTCAGCCTGGCACAATTCTTCCAAAAATGGTCCTGGAGAGCAGAGCTGACATGGGGTGAGCACCACGGAGGCCCTCGGGGCTCATGGGTGGGGCACACACTTAGGCACTGACAGCTGGGGTTGGAGCCCGCCTTGGGCACTAACCAGCTCAGGCCCTGAGCCAGCTAGACAGGTCTCCTGGCCAAGTCTCCAGGCCCTCAGCACAAATGCTGTGCACACTATCACGGCCTACACATACATGAGCTCTATACATATTCTCAGTCTTGTTCATTCATTCAGCCCATACATATTTAGCACTTACTATGTGCTATATGTTGTGCTAGGTCCAGCAGTGAACAAAACTAACAAAAATCTCTCCTTCGTGGAAGTTACATTTCAATGGAGAAGAGACACACAATAAACATAATACATTCTAAGGCATGCTAGAAGGTGATGAGAGCCATGGGGAAAGCACAGGGCAGACGACGAAGATCAGGAGGCCTGGGGAGGGAGGCTGCAGTTGTAGGGCGGGTATGTTCACTGAAAACGTATAGAGCAGGGCTTGGCAAATCTTTTCTTAAAGGGCCAAATAGTAAATATTTTAGGCTTCGCAGACCATATGGACTCTATCAGAGCTACTCAACCCTGCCGCTGTATTGCAAAAGCAGCCAGAGTTAACATGTAAATAGATAGATGTGTCTATATGTCACTAAAACATTTACTAATAGACTTGACAGAGTGAGCTGGGCGCCCCTCCCATGCTCTGTAACTCATCTATGTGCTGCCTGGCCTCACACTCAACAGACAGATTTGACGACTGGGATCACACTGCTTATCCCCAGGAAGCTCAGTCAATCACAGCTGGCAAGTGACAGGAAGCCTGTTTGTGCTCACTCAGTATTTACTGACTGAATGAATGCAACAGCTATTGACTGAGCATCTACAGCCTGGCATGATGAGTGGTACTCAGGAAACAGACACAGCAGAAGGCGATAGTGAACATAATTATTACTTCTCAAACTACTATCAAGGGCCTGGCCCTGTGCCCGACATGTAACAGACTCAGTAACGACTAGTGGATTGAAATCCACCTGTGGTTCAACACCAGTCCCCAGAGCACAAGCGAAGGCCAGGCGAGCCCCAGCAGCACTTACGTAGAATCGCAGCAGAGCGCCATCTGAATTGCAGCACCAGGACCTCCTGCCCAAGTATTCATGGGCTGTGTTGAGCAGCATGAGGGAGGACGGGAGCATGGGCGTCTCGGCCATCGCTGGGGAAAGACCAGACCGAGAGACACAGAGTCAGTGCAGGGACGTGTGGGAGCTGTGGGGCTCAGGCCCTCTTCTGGGCTTTTCTGTTTTCACCAGGGTGGCCAGAGATTGTTCTTTCTTTCCTTTTTTATCTTTTTAAATAAGTAATGACTTGACTGGTTTTACTAAAGTAACACATGCTTATCAAAAAGCAATTCAAATCATACAGGAAAGTATGAAGAAGGAATGCTTCATCCACCAACTGCCAGCCCCAGTAACATTCAGGGAACATCACTGGAAGCATCTTTCTGTGCGTACATGAGACATTGTGAAGGAGAGAGAAATAACTCAGAACAATGGAAGCCACACTACATTCACCATTCTTGAGTTAAAAATTCTTATATTTAGGTCTACTTGAATATTACAGAGCTTTTAAAAAGAACTATAAAATTTCAGTTAAATGTTTGTTCAACACTAGAACTATTAAAGTTTCTTTAAAGATCCCCCAGTGCTTTTGAAACTCTGGGTCATAACCCATTAGTGGTTGTAATTTGTACTAAAATTTTTGAGAATTAGGATAGAATCCATTAGAATAGAAAATTCTAGAGGGGAGCACACCTGAGAAAGTTAAGGATTCTTTCATGAAACTGGTTTCATACTTTTCACTATCAGTCAGTCCCAGGCAAAGAGGTATGAAAAGCAATGGTTAAAAAAGGTCATAAAATCATTAAGTTCAAGCCATGCCAGTTTTTTAAGGTCTGTTAAGTTAGTTTCCACTTTCAACAGCATCAAACAACTATCATACAAGATGGGTGACAGCTTTTTAACACTTCCTTCTTCCCCCATTTCCCAGTTCTGTTGTGCATATTATTTGTAGCACTTAAAGGTTTATAACATTTACACCCTGTTCTGCAACCATGACTAGCCCAGTTGCCGTCTCTCAATTCCAGTTTTAAGTGGATTTGGTGCTTATCACAAGTTCTTTCCCATGGCTCTTCTGTTCCTCAGGAATTTCATTCTGACTCATGTTGGTTTACTGACCTCATCCTCCAGGGGTGTTTTTAAGAAGCACTCATAGGAGGTGGAATGCCTGTTTATAAGTGTCTCTTACCACTGCAATTACAAACAACTTGGCGAGATGTCTTAAGCCATACTCTCTTTCCTTGAGAACTGTGCAGACATACAGACACTACTGCGACAGCACTGAAGAAATCTGAAATGAGTCTCACTTTTCCGTCCCATGAGGATAAATTGCTTTTTCAGTTTAGAAACCTAAAAAATCTTTATTCTTAAAGTAGATCCTTAACCAGGATGTATCTTGATATAGGTTGTTGTGTATCCGCCTTTCTTGGCATATACTGTACACTGAATGGGCAGATTCAGTTTTATTACAATTGGGAGAAATTTCCCTGTATTGGAGACTAGTTGGTTGCTTCTCCTTTCTCATTTTTGGAGTCCCTCCATCAGGGGCACTGCTTATCCTTACACGGCATGATCTTTGTTTTCTGCATCTGTCATCTTCTCTCTGATGCTTTTGGCTCTTAATTACATCCACTCATTTCAGTTTCAGTCACATTCACTCTACTCCTTGCTGTTTTGGTTTTATTAGTTTATAACAGTGAGACTTGGTTTGCAGTGTTTCCCTTTAGTTCTGCATTTTTCCTTTTCATTTCATTCTGTTTATCAGCTCAAATTTTTAAATAAATTATCTCCTTGGGGCTGCCCCGGGCCGAGTGGTTAAGTTCGTGCACTCCACTTCTGTGGCCCAGGGTTTCGCTGGTTTGGATCCTAGGTGCAGACATGGCACTGCTCATCAGGCCATGCTGAGGCGGCATCCCACATGCCACAATCAGAGGCACTCACAACTAGAATATACAACTATGTACTAGGGGGCCTTGGGGAAAAGAAGAAGGGGGGAAAAAAAAGATCGGCAACACTTGCTAGCTCATGTGCCAATCTTTAAAAAAAAAAAAACAATCTCCTTGCGCAGAGATTTAGAGGGCCTCTGCTCCTGTTCCTTGGTGTATGTCTTCTTCCAGACTGAGTTCATCTGTTTTTCACGTGCTATCTCCCTTCTTTCCCTGTTGTCCCCTCTCGGGGTAGGGCAGGCTACAAAATGTGAGCATACTTGGCCATGTCATTCCTTTCTACGCTGCTCATGGTCAGCTAGGGCAGTTCCTCCAGACTATGTACGTGCTCTAATACATCATGAATGAATTTGCTGTGGCACTTTCCCACATAATATAAAATGAATTTTCCCTTTCCTTAAAGCCATAATTTTAAAGCAGGTATTGCTCTCAATCCACTTTTCCGTAGCCTGTGTCTGCAGAGGTAGAAGGGAGATTGCCTGGCAAGGGCTGTGTATAGCTCTTGCTGGAGGACCCAGGCTTTGTTCTCTCTTCTGAGGTCCCCTCTGAAGTAGGACTTGCTGCCCAGGGAGAGGAGTGCAGTCAGCAGACAGCCCCCAGCTGTCGGCTCCTGCAGGGTCTGCTGCAGCTGCAGAGACTCACCTTACCCAAGGTCACACACTCCCTGTGGAAGCCCACATCGAGTGACTGAGTGAGATAGGAGTGGAAAGGCCTGGCTACTTCTGTCTAACATGGCGCAGCAATTTGAATGGGCAACTCTCACTCCAGGGCTCCCTGCCAGGTTACCCGAGGCATTGCCAGGCCTGCATCACAGTTCAACTTCCCCCTCTGCCCTCACTGTGCTTCCTCCTGCTTCCTTTCACAGGCAGTGATCCCTAATAAACAGCCTCAGTCTGCTTCCAGAGACCTCAATATGTGACAATGTCCTCCGCCAGGCCCCTCACCACCTGGCCAGAAGTGTGCTTTATCCCTGGGCCACCTCCATCCACACAGTCCGGTCACTGGAAGATGGCTGGACCCAGGAGTCTTTCCTGCCTCTGCCAAAGCCGAGGCAATACGGAGGGCCTTCCCCACCAGCCTACTCTACAAACGAGAGGATATTACTATTTCCCAGGAGTTTGTCAATTTACCATCTTCCCTCAGTTCTCCTACTGAGGCTAGAGGAGGGGATAGGAGCCACACCTGCTGCCAGCCACCAGAATCTCTAATTTCTTTCCTTGGCCTACATTTTCAAAGTTTATGGCATCTGATTATTCCCCATTCCTTGTTTGCTTACTGGCAGTTTTTATAAAGAACTATATTGTTTGCATAATTAATTAGGGGGAAAAGAGACCCTCTAGAAGCCTTTTTGGATTATTTTTATAACAAAAATAATAAACATTTATAGTTGTAAACCCTGATTTTTTTTCACCACTAAAACCCTTCTGGAAAACAGAGAGGTTCTATTTGTTAAGAGCTCTAGAGATATTCATCCTAGAAATTTATCCAAAAAAATCAATTCAGCAGAAGCAAAAAGGGATGCATGAGGTGTTCAATAAAGTTTGGCCTGTAAGAGAGAAGTAACGCAGCCATCCAGAGGGTTCAGCAAAGCAGGGTCCACCAGCACGACAAACACTATGGAGCAAAATGGAAACAGCTTCATAAAACAAGGTATAAAAGCTCTTCTCAGTCTGGCTCCTTCCTACGTCCAACCCATGGCTCTCTTGTGTCCCTGCTCATACTGCTGCATGTTCCCAGTGTCCTCCTCTGCCCCTGCTCGCCCATCAGGCCTCAGCCCAAACCCTGCCCCCATGCCAGTGCATGAGGCACTCCTCCCAGAAGGCCACACTGGCTTGGCGCTGTTGGAGTTCCTGTCTGTCTCCTCCCACCACAAACCTGTCAGGGCCAGAGTCACAGAGGCCTGACATGCAGTGAGCAGCTGATAGATACCCGGCGAGTAAATGAACTGAGCAGAAAGAATGAATGAAAGGAAACAAATCACACATTAACTCTGTGGTTACTGGAATAGGGATGACTTCCTTTCCTCTCCACTCGTCTGATTTTTCAAATTACTGATGAAAAATCCCCAATAAATTTAAGTTAGTTGAATGAATACATAAACATGTGCATTATAATTACAGCTACATAAAAAGCATATGCATACGGCCAAGTTTAGACAGAAACTGCAAAAAACCAAAGGGGAAAAAATCCATTTGGTAGAATTATAGGCAATCTTTGCTTAAACGTCTTTTAGCTGCTGTTGTTACGTAATTTACTTAATTAACCACATTTCCTACCACTGCGTTGACCTGGCTCAAGTGCCATCTCCATGAGGGGTCATGCGCTGGCCCTCTCCGGCTTCTCCACTTACAGTGACTACTCATCACTCAGCAGCCCCATGTGCCAGCACTGATTTGCTACGGCAAGTGATGGCTTTATTATGTCATTTTGTCCTCAGAACAACCCTCTGAGTAAGGTACTTTTATTCCCAGCTTGGACATGGGGAATAGAGGATAAGAGGTTACATGACTTGGCCGAGGTCACACGGCCAAGAGGTGACTGTTGGGATTCAGAACCTGCGCTTGCTCCATGCTGCCCTCCAGCTGCCCACAACCCCTGGCCTCAGTGGCCCACACCCAGGAGGGGCTGTGGGGTACAGAAGTTAAGTACAAGGGCTGTCGTGGGGGTTAAAGGAGTTAGCAGGCATGAGGCCTCTTAGAGCAGTGTTGGCCCTCCTTGTAAGCACTCACCACACTGTCATTTCCTCTGTGTTGCCACTAGCACCAGACGTGAAACACTTCAAATGCCTACTGCCTCCTGACCCCACTGCACAGTGAGCTCCCTGAGGGAGGATACAGGGGAAACTTATGCCTCCATCCAAGTGCCATGAAAAATCCTGTCGACTGAGCCCCAAGTCCACTCATGGCACCTGGACAGGGCCGTAGGGCCACAGGGCCCAGAGGCAAGGACACATAGGTCAAAGCCCGCCTCCACCTGGACCCACTTCCCACCACCTTCATCTGCCGGGTTCTGGAGCTGTTGTTGGTGACATAGGGAGTGGAAGGTGTCCTCCTCCTGCCAGATGATCCGGTGCAGGATGATCCAGGGCAGCACCGAGGAGACGTGTGGCTCTTTGGGCTCCTCCTGCACAGCCATGCTACAGTCAATGACCTGGGGAAATAGAGAATGTCACAGGAGGGCCAGCTCTTCTCCCAGCTAGGGAGGAGTCCTCAGGGCAGACCAGGGCTGGGGGCAGGGGACATGGTGCCTGCCCATCCCCACTGCTTTGATGTGGGAACACTGACCTAGCAGCATCCCAGCATGTCATCAACCAGAGTGTCACAGAGCCTCACAAGAAGTATGCCCAAGCATCAGAGGAGCCAGTTCTGATCCCTGAGGCCACATGCAGTTCCTGATGCCCTCGACATCCACTGTGGGTTGGGCCCTGTGCCAGATGCGAGGGTGACAGAGGTAAACGGGGCATGGGGGAGTGGACAGCCTAGGGGAAAGAGAACTAGAGACAAGCCATAGGAGAGCTAAGGATCAGTATGGCTGCTGCATGAAAGTAAATGAGGTCCGTAATAAGGTCGCAGAGGAGGGCGGGGGACAGAGTGAAGAGAGACCTTGAGAGACGGTTTCCAGGTGAATGGCTGTGGTGTGCCTGACCCCAAGAGAAGCCAGGGAATGGGGGCAGAGGACAAGAGTGCAGGCAGAGGTCACAGAGGCCTGAGAGGTGGCCAAGGAAGTAGAAGATGACGGTGGAGAGGGAGGCCAGTGGATCAGTGCGCCCTGGGTGACAGGCACTCTGGAGGAAATGTGAAGGGTTAAAAAGTGGGAGGAGCACATTTATGTCTCCATTTTGGAAAAGTGACTCCATGGCAGGGTGGTGGCTGGACTAGAAGGGTAGAGGGGGCAGAGAGGACAGCGGGAAGCGTGCTGCCACAGTTCAGGCAAGAGATGGCAGTGGCCTGGGCTAAGGCAGAGCGGCGAAGGAAGGAAGGAACAAAGGATAAGGATGTTAAGGACAAGGATTTGGCAGGACCTGCTGACAGCCCATGGGAGTTGGCAGGAAAGAGCTGAGGGTGGCTCAGAGGAAGGTTCCCTGCCACGAAGGCTGCCTGGACAGTGCAGGGTGCTGTGACCACCCCTCAGCTACAAGGGCCAAGACAACAGGGGTGGTGGAGAGCCCTGGTGGGAGACAGGGGCCTGGGTTCCAGCCCCAGCTCTGCCTCTGGCTCATGACACACAGGCCAGGGTCTCCTGCTCTGAGCCTACTTCCTCCCCTCTGAGATGGGTGGTCTGAAGAACCCTGTGGTGCCCAGTGCTACAGGCTCTAAGCCCCAGATATTACCAGCCCCAGGAAGGTTTGTAGCCAGTACACAACCACCCACCCCAAGGCACCCACCTCCTCCTGCAAGAGAAGCCAATGCACCCCCTTGGGGTGCCTAACTCGCCATGAAAGCTGGTGAACTATGAGGAAGGGGGCCGCCAGAGAGCCATACCTGCTGGGGCAGGGCAGGAAGGGGCTGAGCGTCACCTGGATGAGGTTGCTGGTGAGCCGGATGAGGCCAGTGCCGGAAGATGATTCCTTCAAAATGCTGCCACTGCTATCCGCTGAGAGTGCCTGCTCAATGCCCAGCAGCAGCTGGGTCACTGTAGCCACCCACTCCTCCTTGGCGGCAGCATCACTCGCATTGACCATCTGCTGGACCGCCTCGTTAAGAGCCACATCAGAGCACTCAAAACACTGCCGGTGGTCCTTCAGCCGGAGCAAGGAGTCCTGAGCACAGGAAGGAGCGAGGAGGAAGGTGCACTGAGAGGACTGTGACAACACTCATTACACCCGGTCCTCAGGAGGGGTAGGTAGCTGAGGAAAAAGACACGTGGGGCAGTCCAAAGGAAAGGGGTGGTGTGGGCCCCCCATGGCCTCAAGGTGTCTGCCAGGGCACACGGTGACCTGTGTGCAATCACAGCATGGCAGGCCACCAGCCAAGGGGCTTTCAGAAAGTTGCTGAACCTCTGCACTTCAGTTTCCTCATTTACACAGCTGGAAGCCGGGATGAGCCTAAGGGCTGGCAAACCACCAAGGTGAGGCTAAGTGATTCCACCTCCTGTCAACTCTCACCCCAAGCCAAGCCACCATGCCCCGGGCCACCCAGTCATACGCTCATCCAGTGCCAGGCTCTGGAGGGTCTCAGCAGGGAGGGCAGGCTGCCAGGGACGGACTATCTCTGTGGAAGGGGGCCTGAGCCAAGGCCATGGCAGGGGCAACTGGCCAGGCAGCGCTGATGCCATCGTTTTGAGTCCCCTCCTTCCCTAGGAGACAGGTGGGGCAAGGTACTGAGCTTCCCTGAGCATTCAGAGTGATATGCACAGCACCCCGCAGGGCGGGCAGCTCTCAGCACACCCCCTGCACCCTGACAGCTGTTTTAGAATCCCCTCTTTGGAAGCCATCGCTTTTTGTGAAGCTGCCTTCCTTCTGCTCTAGAACAAACCCACTGAACCACCTCGGGTCTCAGCCTCTTCCATCACCGAACCAGTGTAGGGACACTCAGCCTGGCTGTGGATTTGCAGATCTGGCGGGCAGCCTGTTAGACTAGCAGGAAGCACCTGCTGCCCGGCGCCACATCGGGCTCCGACCCCGCCAGAGCTAAGGCACGCAGTGGCTCCTGCCTGCCTCAACACACGCAGCTGCCACGCTCTGAGGTGACACAGACAGGAGTGGGGGCAGAAACACCCCAAACTGCCTTTGGGATGTGTTGCAAAACCTGAACACAGATCAAAACCACTCCCCATTTATTAGCGCTAATCGCCAGGAACATGGGGCCTGTGCTTTTTTAAAGACCAGCAGTCTTGAGCAGGAAGCCACTGAGGAGCCTCTAGGGTGCAGACATGGAGCCCCAGGGCCCGAGCTGACCCATCCTGATCAAACACCAAACATGTGAGGGGTAGGGGGTTATTTTCTAGCAGGACAAAGACTATTGACTCTAAACTGCAGCCAGAGCTGTGTGAAAGTCAGGCAGAAAACAAAGACCTGCCAGCGGTGCTCCTACATGACATAATCCCCAGGGCCCAAAGCCAGAAAGAGTCAGAAAGCAGAAGAATAACTGCCAACAAATGAGAAGACCAAATTACCACTGACTGTGGGCAACATGATCGTCTACTCAAAACAAAACAAAACAGAAACTATCAGAAATAACGGGAATTCAGTGAAGTAGCTAGAATCAAAATAAACATGCAACATTCAACATGGTTCCTATAAACCAGAAATGTACAATTAGGAAACACAATGACCAACAAAAAGATCCTGCTTAAAATGGCAACCGGAAACACTAAGGACTAAAAATCAAGTCAGCCGTAAGAAAACTACACGACTGTATTGAAGAACATGAATGGCAGCTGCCTCAGTAGAGAGAGAGCCATCCAACTTCCAGAGGGAAGCTTCCAAGTCAGACCCCCATAAAAGCTGGATGAAGCCAGTTAGATGCACCACGCAAAACACTGACACCACTAGAAGAAAACAAGGCAAATACACTTCTCATCCATGTGCTGACACGTTTCTCATCGGCCTCCCTTCTAGAATACAGGTTCCACCAGAGCAGACCTCTCCCGTGTCCAGTGCCCCGCACACTGTAGCAACTCAATCCATGTGTGCAGAATGAGTGGATGAATATTTTCCCAGTCTTAGAAAGGTTGTCTAAGCAGAAAGAACAAAATCACAAACATTTGAAAACATCAAAAAATTTGACAACACAAGAATTCAAAACTTCTGTATGCCGGAAAAAAAACAATAAAAGGTGCAATTTACAAGCAAACAACAAACTGGAAAAAAAATATTTGCAACATTTGATGAGAAAAAGATTAGTATCTTTAATATATAAAAAGCACTCCAAATCAATAAGAAAATACACCCCCTCAATAGGAAATTGAGCAAAAACCAGGAGTCACTTATTTGCAAAAAGCAGGAGCTTCCCCAGCACTTGGCCCAGGCCCTATCACAGCCCTCAGCACTGCTCAATGCCCAGCCAAAGAGCAGCGCCTCCCCCATTAATGGGGCATCCTGCGACACCAGGAGTTCTAGAAGACAGGAGCAAAACAGCATCTGAGCCATTGAGGCCATCGTACGGAGGCAGAGAGGGCTGGCCTTTCCTCCTTCTCCCCACCCACTGGCCTCCCTGGGTACACCCAGCTGTCCCTCCCACCCAGGAAAATGCTAATCAGAAGATACGGGGTATAGTTGGAACCCAGGAGTGCAGCTTCTAGGGTTCTGTGTGGCTCAAGGTAAGCCCACACTTGACTCTGAACTTCTGCATGGCAGAGGAAGGAGGAGGATAGTCAGGATGTCACCCATCCATCTACCTGTTTGTTATCTACCTGTCTTTATTAATTTTTAAATTAACTATTGAGTAGACATAGAAATGCTGGCCCAGCTCCCCTCAGCCTGCCATGGTCACTGAGGCCAGACACATCTCATCCCTTGATCTCAGCTTGAGCCTGCCTGAATCTCTCTGCCAGGAACTGGAACCAGCTTCCCTTCTCCCCTCTCTCTCCCTCCCTCCTTTCCTTCCTAGAATGAACCCTTTCCTCCCCATTCACCAGGGCAGAGATGCCTCCATTTGTTCCACAGTCACATCTCTTGACTATTTCCCAATTCAAGAAAGTTAATAATTACAATGTCTCATGTAATCTCAGCAAAAAGCCTGGGAACCTACTGGACTTTCTTTCCAAACTGAAAGCGAAGGGCCCAGTAAGATAATAAATATAACGTGATTAATGTGTGAACCATAAGCGATGGGACGCCAGCCCACCCAACACCACTACACACACCATGTTTATCATCTTCTGTGTCTGTCTCTGTGTCGGACTCCACGCTTCCTGAGGATGGTGGCAACGATGGTAGCTGGCACCCATATGGTGCTTGCTACATGCCAAGGGTAATGTCAATACACACTAACTTCTATAATCCCCATGACAGGTCTCTGAGGCCAGGACATGATCACCCCCATTCTAGAGATGAGGAAGTGAGGCACAGAGAGAGTGGGTAACTGTCCAGTGCCCAGCAGATATCCTGGTGCCTGGTGAGCTCTCAGTAAGGGATTACTTCCTGAAGAACAAGGCGTGGAGGGAGCTGCAAGGGCACATGGCTTCAAATACCGCACTGGTGTTCTTTTTCTTCAACTATATGTTTGTACAAGGGTATTTATTTTATCTTGACTCTTTACATTGTACAGATATTTTATCCATTTTTATATCTACTCAATACTTAATTTAAAAAGTAATAAAGACAGGTAGCCACACAGAACCCTAGAACCTGCACTCCTAGGTTCCAACTATCCCCTGTATCTTCTGACTAGCATCTTCCTGGGTGCTGAGTTAGTGGTTTTTCACTCTCACTTTTCTCTTCTAGGTACATGTTTTCGAGGGCTACCTCAGAACCTCCAGAGAATAAACCCACACCAAGCAGAGACGGTACGAGTGGGCGAGGGGGACACAGGCAGCACATACCTGCAGCAGCAGAAGCTGGGCTGGCCTCTCGGGAATGGAAGTCATAAACTCCAGGTGTTTGGCCCGGTTAAAGCCACTGGTGCACAAGGTGGGGCGGAGCAGATGCACGACAGCCTTGTAGTCACCAGCCTCATACAGCCGCTGAATCTCCTCTAGGGACTGGCACCGCTCCAGCGACTTAAGGTTCTTATCGATCTGGAAGAAGCCTGGAATTGCTGCCTGATGACAAACCCCTCACACTCCCCCTGAATTTGGCCAGTGTTTGCATTTGTCAGACCCAGATGAGGAATACAAAATTAGACTCCTTCTTAATATATCACCGTTTACATTAAGCCAATAAAAATATATTTCTGTTAAGCTCAAGGCATTCAACTCTTTAAAAACCAAATTACCAAAAAAAAAACCCCAAAATACTACTCTGGAAACAGAGAGGTTCCAGAGAAGCATCTACCAAAATAGCTGGACAGCCTTGTGGTCATGGTTCGGCGAACCCCGGGCCAGAGGTTGGCACATGCCATTGACCCACAGAACCCTGTCCCCACAGGTGGTCCCCACAATGTAGGCAGGAGGGGCAACTCTTTCTTGGTCGTGCCCAGAAACAATTCTGTAAGAGTCTGAAGGCCACTTTCACTCAAAGTGGACACATCACAGACGTGGAACTGCAGCGGGGTCTGTGGCTGGGCAATGAGAACAGGATCAGGACCCCACAGAGCCTGGCATACGTGCCACACGCTGCTGACCCAGTCCCATGGCCAGACCAGCACCGGTCTGCCTCTGCTGGTGTTTCCCTCTAATTCCACTGGGGTTGCTAACACACGCAGCCCAGGGAGTTAAGCAATAATCACTTTAAATTGTGCCAGCACACGTGTCCACTCCTGCCACCTCCCATCTGGAAGAACTTTCCATCCTGGGGATGTCCCTGCAAGCCCAAGGGGCCCTTGTGTGCCAGAGTCGCCTCTCTCCAGCCCCTCCACCCTCCCCAGGAAGGAAGGAGCCATGCTCAGCATGTGGACTGCTCTTTTGGTCCTCAGGGACAGGTCAGGCCTGGTCTAACTGGTCCAACCCAGCACAAATCTTTGACCAAGAAAACACCATAAAAAAACTCCCACTCACCTCCTCCAGGGAAACTACTGAGTCGTTGTGGAGGTTGGGCAGACGGATGACGATGTCTCTCTGCTCAGCCCCTGCCTCCGCCTGGATGGCAGTGGAGCTCTGGAGCATTTCTGTGCAGATGTCATAGTTCTCCAGGGCCTGCTCCATGTCTCCCTGATCAGAGAAAAGCAGTCAAGAGACAGAGGCAGGACGGGACCTCGCTGTGCTATGCCAGGTGCCTCACCTTCCTCATCCCACTAGACTGTAGGCACTGTGAGGGCGGGCTTTTATCCAATTACTGCTATACTCCCTAAAAAGGTGCCTGGCACGTGGCTGGAGCTCAATAAGTATTTGCTGAATGAACGAATGAACGAATGACTGATTGGTTCACACCACAACTTTAAGGGGAGGTATCATTAACCCCATGTGGCAGGTAAGGACACTGAGAACACTTAAGCAAGGCCGAGTATCTTGATCAAGATCATGAGCATTAGCTCATAAACGACAGAGCCAGGATTAGAACCTAGGCCTCTCCCAATTCTAGAACTGACTGTGGCACTCTTTTCTCATTCTATCACAGCACACTGGGTATCACCACATGCAAGGTGCTGAGTAACAGCCAGTCCACCCTGGCCTTTCGGAGCAGGCTCTGAGGGGAAGCTGTCCGAGAATTCACACAAACAGGTGATTAATTCCCTTCTAGAAAGCTCTACTTCCATTCATGGACTTGCTCAGGCTCTCGCAGGAAAACATAAGCAAAGGGTCAAGATCCCAAGGCAATCTTGAGTGGGGAGTTTCTAGGGGGCACAGGTGACCCATTCCAGGGTTCTGTAGTTGTGCTGATGTGCTTTGCAGACTGGTGGCCATGCTGGGATTTCTGAGATGCTGAAAATTCCCCAACACATCCTGCTTCCTCACACGGTGCCGGGCAGGTGCCACATGTGCACACACACACACACACACACACAAACATCCTCAACAATGCATCCAGCTCTCTCCTGCCCTTTTGGGTGCCAGGGCATGCTCCCCAAGCAGCCGACAACAGAACCAACCTGCAGTGCTAGGAACCGAGCCTTCAACCAGTACACGCGGACCACAAACTCTAGCCAGCCATCCTCAAACAGGTCCCGCTGGGAGGAGGCAAATGACAGCTGCAGGAGGTCACCCAGGAAGTGAGTTCCCGGGAAATCAGGCCCAAACCTGCCATTCACCACACCAGCAGGGCAGTTCCGAGGAGACACTGAAAACCAATCAGGCCAGGACGAGTCAATTTCATGTAAAGTTCAAATGCCCTTCTGCTCCCCGCAGAGGTCACCCTCAGCCTTTGGCACCTGCCTCAGTGTCCATGAGTGCCCTGAGCCCCTCGGAGCCTTACAGCCCCCTGAGTGGCAGGCATCAGAGAAATCAGACAACTCAGGTGTAGATGCAGAGACCCTAAGAGCTGGAGGGCCTTCATTTTGCAGACTGAACTTTGAACATATCTTTATTCACTGGGTGGTGGTTTAAAAGTCAGAATGATCCACATCATCTGGGAAAATTACTGGGGACACATAAAGTGTCAAGTGATAACCTGAGAAAATTGAAACCCTACTTCTTTCGATCATGAGTAACAGAAAAGCAGGCAGATGGGGGCTCAGTTGCTGCTAACTACTTCTCAAGTGTCCAAGGGACTTCTCTAAGACCCTGGATTTTCCTGGCCTGACAAGCCAACCCAGGAAACATGCCCCTTGCAGATGTAAGTCTGAATTCCATGACTCAGCCTCCTCACTCCCGCTTCCTCCTGGCTACTGAGGGTTCAGAAAGTTACCCCTGCCACAGAACATAGAATGCCTCCTACCTGCAGAGCTTCTGCCCTTGGTCAGCAGCCACTGGTCCAGCTGGAGCTCCATGCAGGAGAGAGACATCAGCATCATGTCCTGCAGGACAGGCACCAGAAAGTCAGGAATGGAGTCACGAGTTGTCATCAAAGGGTGGCAGATGGAATGAAACTAAACTAAAATTTACTTTGATAAAAATATGATTCTACCTACTTTCTATCTTACCATTTCATAAAAGATAATCGACAGCTACTTGCCAGGAGGTAAAAGAGGTACATGGATCTACACTGGGACAAGACTTGGGAGGAGCTGGGACACCTGTCTTCAGTCCTGAGAGACTCCCCTATGGAAGAGGCAGCCCTGTCACCTCCCAAGTGCCAGTTCAGACACTGGATCCACACTAGAGCACTCAACCCTTAAAAGTGCCTGGGGTTAGCTATTGATCCCAGGACACACGAGAAAGCTAAGGCTTAGCGATAAGGAGGCACTAGTCGAGGGGGCACAGCAAGGAAATGACCAACCTGGCTTGTCTGGGGACCAAAGCCATGGCTCCTCCCACCACTCCACACTGCCCCCAGGGGAGCAGGCCCAATGGGCAGAAGCTTCCAGGAGGCAGTCCCCGAGGTGTTTCAGCAAAGGCTGCGTGGCCAGGGAGCACTGATTCACATGGCCCTAAGACCTGTCAACCTGAGCTCCTCCACCCTCTGTGCAGCCAGCCAGAAATACTACCTGGGTGAGCCCTGAAAGCCCCCGTGCTCCCTCCTCAGCACTCAGCCTTCCTCCTCCAATGGGACAAGGGGGCCGGAGCACCTGGATTCCCTTGAGCCTTGGGAGGCAGTGAGTGGAGGAGCCTGGGGTGCCGAGCACAGCAAGCAGGAGGGCTGAGTACAGTTTGGCCCCTTATTGCTGGAGGCCCCCCCAATCCCCTAAGCAACCCTACTCGGCCTCCGCACTTATGTTTTCTCACCTATTAAAAAAACTGGCAACAGTCCCTAGCCCCTTGAACACAGCTGAACCTTCCTTGTCCCCCAGCCTCTCTGCTGGCCTTCCTCCATCCCAGTAAACCATCCCTGTCCCAAGCCCTGGCGTTTGGGCCAGCCCTAGAAGCCCTCCCCATCTCATCCCCTCGCCTATACTCACAGCTCATCCTTCAGCTCTGCCTCCAGAACCTCCTACCCCACTGCTACCACCATGGCTCACCTGGCAAGAGCTTACTGACAGCCCTGAGCCCACTCTCACCCCCAAGTATATCCTCCACTCAGCCACCAGGGATCTTTCTAGGCACAAACCAGATCCTGTGACTTACTGCTTCAAAGCTCCCAGGTGCCCAGGTTCCAGGCCCACAAGTAGAGAGAGCCGAGTAGGTTCAATACAGCAGCAGCCCCACATCCACTGAAGGTGACTATGCCCCTCCCTGGTCCCAGTCTGATGCTGGCCCTTTCAAGGCCCCCCGCCCATCCAACCTTGATGTGCTTGTTGCTGCAGTCCCTCAGCAGTGGGTTGGGCAGGCTGGTGCTGTGCCTCCGCCAGCTGTGGTAGATGCTGAGCACGACCTCTGCCAGGCCTGGTGGCCACCTCAGCAAAAACTTGTGGCCCATGCCCTTCAGGTAGCGCATCATCAGCTCCAGGATGCCCCCATTGGTCAGGTTCTCCAGCAGGAACGCATGTACGTCCTGCTTCTCTGCCCAGGGAGGGAGAAACAACCTGACTTGAATGAAGGACCTCTCATGTCAGAGTCTCCCATTTTCTTCGGAAGAGGAGAGAGGAAAGCAATAGCAGGGGCAGGGAGGGGGCAGAGGCAGAAGAGAGCCTGTGTCCTCCCACTACAGGGTAGTGCCGAGGTCAGGCTGCTGGCTTCTAATCCTAGCTCCAGCCCTCACCAGCTCTGAGCAAGCCTCTCTGAATCCTCCAAGTGATGTCGTGTGCACTGAGTGAGACCATGAGCAAAAAACACAAGCATAATAACTGGCACACAAACACGCAACAGTTGTGTCGGGTGCATCTGACCTGCAAAGCCAAGCCTCTGGGTCTGGCCTGAAGCACACGTCCTTCAGGCACCACAGTCAAGTATGAGCGTGGACGTTTCAGCAGACCTCCCAACTGACCATGGAGCTCATGCCCAAGAAAAATCCAGGCAGCCTCCTGACCACACTTTTAAACACCAGAACCATTCTCACAGAATAAAACCTAGGCAGGTCATAGCATAATGGGAGGAAGAGTTCCCAACAGTGAATCATCACATTGCTGGATTCCTACCAGATTCCATGAACGTGGCAGAGTCGAATGACAGTCTATGAGGCCCAACACTTGGGAAGCTTTCCAGTTTGGCTTCTGACTGGACTTCGTAGTTATTAAAGGGGTCATCTTCCTCCTCAGGGTCCAGCTTTCTTAGCCTGCATGAAATACACCAGAGTCACAAAAAGCCACACCACACATTCTGACACAGCATCTGAATTCTTCCTATTAGAGAAACGAAATTTGAGCCAGGCAGAAGAAAACCAGAGTAAGTGAGCAGCAGGGTCTAGAACCCAGGCCTCCAAGAGACTCTGCCTCTCTCCAGGCCCTTGTCAGCTGGCATCTGGTCTGTACGCTCACTTGTTCATTCATTCCATCAACAGGCGATCACTAAGCATTGGCATGTGCCAAGTACCAGAATCAGTCATAAGTGTGGCAGACTCTGCCCACGGTAGCCTTATCTTCTAATGGGAGAGACAGACAATAAACAGATACACAACAACAAAGAACCCAAATAGGGACCAACCACGACAGAGTGCTTGTCACAAGGGACCTCCTTTAGAGAGCAGAGTCAGGAAGGTCACTCAGAGGGGGTGATGTTCATAATGACAGTGGAGAAGGGTAAGGGGCAGGCCATGCAAAGTAGCAGGACAAGGACAGGTACAGAGGCACAGGCCAGAAGAGCACCTGGTATGTTCTAACACCTGAGAGGAGCCTAGTGAGTAAGGAGGAAGGTAGGGGGGTGTGGAGTATGGAGGCACATTGGGCCCTTCTGAGCCGGGTCCCTCTATGGCTCCTCACAGAGCTGGACCTGGGAGGTCTCTCCCAGCAGGCACCATTCTTCCAAACTCCTCCGAAGACCATGGTTTAGCGTCCTTGTAGCTCTCCCTCAACCAAGCAGCCCTGCAGCACAAACACTCAGGGCACTTTTCAATGTCTTCATTCACTGACTGCACATACCCCCAGGGTGACTACTCCAGGCAAGCAGTCACATTGCTCTTGCTTGACTATTCGAAGATGTGAAAACTACACAGGATCCAACACTTAAAGTTAAAAAAAGAAGGCAGAAACCATTCCACATAAAGGGGGGCTGGGAACAAGACCTTGAGGTGGGATGGCAGGGCTGAGGGGAAGATGGGGAAATGGGTCACTCAGACCTCTTGGCATCATCAACCACAGCATGTTCCTGCAGCTCTCCCCGCTGGAAGGGAAACCTGGTCCTGGTCCTGTGCCTTAGGAGGGATTTATCAGAGAGGACTGCATGCTCTACTCACTGAGAACAACCTCGATCTCTAAGCATTTCATTTTCACCACAGAAAGACAGAAAGGCAACAAATTAGGAAAATTGGAATCTTGCCACAAAACGGATTTATAATCCACCTAAAGCTTCTGGCTCCTCCTCCTCCACTTGGGTATCGTCACCACTGAAAAAAACTGTCATGAGCCAAAACACCAGTTGAAGACTTCTGGGCAAAGATATACATTGAACACACATGGTTACCTCCCAAACTCCACTCCAGGAACCATGAAGGTATAAAAAGGTATAAAGTCTCAAAGATACAGGGGATGGGAGAGGAAGCCCCAGCAGATAAGAAATGTGCCCACCAAATGTTAGAAGGCAGAAAGACGGACTAGCGGAAACCAAATGGCTTTCTCCACTTAGCTAAGGGCAGAGGAAGGGGAGCATCAAGATGTCCATTCATTGACACCATAAACCCTGGGAAAGCTCAGAAAATGAGTGCCCTGGAGCCTCTGAAGGAGGTGAGAAGGCAAGGATGAAAAGCGGGAGGGCTCGTGAAAATCTACGAAAGGAACATTAGGGCCCAGGACCCCCAGCTGTGGTTCTCCTCCTGAGGCTTCTCTGAGGAACACCAACAACCAGTGAAACCAACGAACATTTACGGGATCGTCCTCCACCTTCTCAGAATTCCAGGGAATCCGTCTAAGCTTGGAGAAACCAAGCAGGTACTGTCCCTGAAAGCAGGAGGGGGGCCCCTTCTGCAGGGTTTCCCAGTGTCAGCATCCAAGAAGCAGCGGCCCCAGGCCACCCAGCAAGTGGTTGTCTGTGAGAGCACAGGGACATGAGCATGTCACTCCAGCTCCAGGATCCATTCATCACCTGAGGGTACAGGAAGTGCCTGGTCCTCGAAAGATGCACAGGTCATGGTTCCTGCCTTCAGGAAGTTCAGAAGCAGGAGAGGCGAGAAAAGGCCAAGATCCCCATCCAGTGAGATCTGTGCTTCACCCGTTTGCACAGATGTCATGGGAAATAAGGATGTACCAGAGGAGAGGGTGGCAAGAGAATGAGAAACGTTATTGGTGGTGTAGGCTGGAGGTTCATGTGTTTGCAAATCAGAAAAAGTGTGCACAGTACCTGGACGGCAAGAACTTCATAAGAAGCTCCTGGAAGTCGACTTTCTCTTCTTTTTTGCACTTAGTGTTTCGGACGCGGGCAGATCGCCGCTTTGCCGTCTCTCCACTCTCTTCTGAAATCTTCTTCCGCTTTACTCCTTTCTTGGATTTATCTCCCCCAGAAACATCGCCTTCACAAAGAGTGCAAATTGAAATCTTACGGGGAAGGGCATAAGAAAATGCACCACACAGGCACGTCAGTCCCCCTCTTTTATAAGTCTACCGGCACGTTTAATCTTTGACATTCAAGATGTCTCCCATCTCTTTAACCACAACGACTCCTGAGTAAAGTTAATTTCAATCCACCTAACTCTTGCATCTTTCTCGAATTCACAGAACCCACAAGCCAGATCTCAAGACTGCTTTCCATAGCTACAGAACACCAGGGACTCACAGTCACACATTCACAGCTGGCCGGCTCCGAGAGCCTCTGGGGCCTCAGTGTTGTACCTGGTATGGGACAGAGCAAGTGGCAGCAACACTGACTCTATCCATCACCCAGGACCCTGTGAGCACCCAATGACATGATGTGGGCAAGAGAACTGTGTGAATTATCTTGAGAGCAGAGCAGTGTCACATATGATTAAGTACAAAAGTTAGAAACAATCACATACATGCTCATTCAGAAACTTTTTAACAGCCAGATATTCTTTTCTCAGTGACACAGAAATCAAGAAAAGGCGTGGGAACTTTGTCTGACATTTTTTACAACTCCAACAATAACAAAAATCAATAAAACCATTCAAAAATATACTACCACATACGGTGCTAACTTTGCTGACTGTTTTTTAAGGCCAAAGAACTCAGGATATCAGTGCACAGCAGTGCTGGGTGCTGTGGCATGTGGCCAGCAACAGAGCAAAACCAGCAGAGGGACCTGCCAGCTCCCACACCACAGACAGGAAGAGTGCCCTGTAGGCCAGGACTTATCAGCCGGTGCTGAGTAGTCCCAAGGAGCTGTACCCCTGAGCCCCCACCCCTTCCCTGTGGGGGCTTCATTACTAAAGTGGCCCTGACGAGTGGCAGCCCCATGAGCAGCCTAAGACACTTCCCTGTGGGGCCGGGGGCTCTTACTTAAACCTCAAGCCAAGAGCATGAGCAGGACCTATCCCTCTGGAGAGGCCAGGGCACCCCAACACTCACTTCTGCTCAGCAAACAGGGTGTCCCCAGAAGCTGACCCCAGGAGGCCTGCTCACCTGCAGGAATGCCTGTCTCCAGCAGGCTGGGACTGTGCAGTGGGAAACTGGCTGTGGCCACGGGGGCATAGGAGAGCACCGGCTCCGCCACAGGCACAGTCGTTTTGGCACTGACAGGGCTCGGCTGGATCACGCTGACAGGTGCCACCACCACAGAGGACACCAGAGGCTGGCTGGGGTCCTGGTAGTCAGACAGGTCGATCTTCTTGCCAAGGCTGGGCCGTGGGGGCTCACAGGTGGTGAGGTGGTTGTACATGGCCAACAAACTTTCTCCGAGGCACTTCCAACTGCAAGGAGAGGGTCCCTGCATCTGCTCAGCACCCCATCATAGGGGAGTCCAAGCACAGGCCAGTTGGCCCGTAGACACACAGCAGAGCTAGCCCAGGGCTGCCATCTCCACGAGGGTGGGGGAGGGTCAGTTTTGTCATTGTCATTACTGACAGTCTTGAGTCTAACACAGCTGAGGTGGAGCAGCCAGAGCAGGAGCAGGAGCAGGGGCTGCACACCCTCTCCCTCCCTGGCAGAAGCCCTGAAGCATCTCAGCCTCAGGCACCTTCAGACTCAACCAGGCAGGCATGAAAACCATTGACTCAATTCAAAAACCCCTCCCCACAAAGCCGAATCTTTAAAACATCTGTGGCATTTCTCTGCTGCCACTAATCTGGTTTTTGGGAGAAGGGCTGCTAAGAGGGACATGGTCTAAAGGGGCCTTGGACAGGGACCGTAAGTAGCAGCATCTCAGTGGGTCCCCATTTGAGCCGGGGCCTGCTGGATAGCAAACCAAGACTGTTGCATGTTTTGTTATGTGGTATGTTGTGGTGTGCTTGTGTTATATGTTGGGTTGTGGTCAGGTCTAGCATGTGTTAAGTTGCATGTCACATTTATGTTTTATTATGGGTATGGTGTGTTGTGTGTTGTTATGGTGTAGCCTATGTTCTATTGTATGTTGTGTGGTACATGGTGTACTGTGCATGTGTTTTAATATTGTGTGGTGTGTTGTATCATATGCTGTCTGTTGTTTCATGTTTTGTAGTATATTATGTTGTGTGTTATGCTGTGTTGTGGGATGATATGGCGTGGCATGATATATCCATCTATCCATCCTTGAATGGCTTCCCACACCCTCAAGCTAAAAACCAAATCTTCATGGTGCTGCACCACCAGGCCCAGCCAAATGGCCCAGCCTCGTCTCATACCTCCCCCTGTACTCTCATCATGCTAGCCTTTTTTCTTTTGTTTGTTCTGCCAACAAAATCACACTCCTGCATACCATATGACCTTCACATAGGGTTCCCTCTGCCCAGAAACAATGCCTCTACCCATGCCCCAGCCCCTCGACCTGGTCAATGCCCACTCCTCCAGACCCCCAGAGCAGTGTGGACCCCATTATAAGCTCCCCCAGTGCTGTGCTTCTCTCCAAAGGGTGGCCACCAGCTTGGGGCATGTGATCCTCCTTCTGGGGGACTGACTACCCCAGGGATCAATCAATTTAGACTGGGGGACTGACTACCCCCAGCGAGAGACCAGACCCCACCACTGAGCCCTCACTGCATGTCGGCATGAAGCTAGTAGTAAATGTATGCAAGGAATAAAAGGACAGTGCTTCAAAATCCAAAATCTAACCAAGTGAAGGCTCCTAGGACTGGAAGGGATTTCTTACCTATTTTCTCCTGCCTTCAGTAAGGGTTACATTCAGACAGGAAGAATCTGCTCGCCAGCTGTGTGTGTCAGATGCCTTAAACACACCTTCATTTTCTAGTGCCTTGCTCATGCCTAGTGGGCAGTGAACAGACCCAGAGGGCAGCAAACTGTGGCTCATGGCCTGCTTTGTATAGCCCACAAGCTAAGAATGGTTTTACATTTTTAAAGGGTTGTTAAAAAAACACACACACAAAGAAGAATATACAACAGAGATGGTACCTTGGCCATAAACCTACAGCACTGACCATCTGGCCTTTTACAGGAAAAGTGTGCCTAGCCCTGGAGTGGATGGTGGTTATTTTACAGGCCACACACCCTTTGTTCCCAGAGAGGGAATCTCTACACTCTTCCTCTGATAACTCAGTCCCATACCTAACCACCAAGCAACACTGCCTTCAGCCGATCCTATCTCCCTCAGGCTTCCACTTGGCCTTCACCCTGTGCTAGGGAGGGTGGCCGTGAGGCCAGTTTACAGCTTCTCTTCTTCAGTCACATCGCCACCGTCGCTTGGATCATCCTCAGGCCTTTCGCTCCTTCACTGTAAGAGGGAGGCACCCAGCGCCCTTCCAAAATCCTCAACCCTATTGGTTGGGGGGCCCACACTCAGACAGGATGGGGCTCCTGACCCAGCTGACAAAACAACAGGAAGGGCACCTGACGTGAGTCTGAGAGCAGCCCAGAGAACAGCCCCGTCTTCCTGTCTCAGCCCACGGTGGGGAAGATATTCCTGGGAAACTCAGCATGAGCGAACGGACAACAGGAGAACAATATGGAGCACAGCCAGCTCTTCCTGACTGTGAGCTGAGTGCTGGCCCCCATGTGTTCTACTGAACTATCATGACGACCTTACAAAAGAGGGATGTTGTACTCCCTTTTTTAGGGAGTGGCATATAATGACCCAGCTCTGTCTGATCCAGGGCGGCAGCTGCAGAGCACTATGTGACAATGCCTCTGAGTATGAGAAAGGGGAAGGAATGCTGCTGCCAAATCTTTAAAGATTCAAGACTCAATGTCAGAATTTTAAAAACAGAAACTGCACACCAGATCTCACTAAGAGTCTGAATTACCCGAACTCCAGAGGGCTGCCAATACCAGCTTGCCCTTCCTGTGAGGGGAAGCTCCCAGGAGCTGTGAGACTCACAAGGGCTATGCAGAGGCCCAGCTTCCTGGGCACCCCATGCGGTCCTGGAGGGAGAGCATGAACTCGAGCGCAGGGAAGCCCAGAACTGGAATCAGTTCCAGGCTCCCATTCACTGTGTGACTGCTCTGAACCTGGTTTCCTCCTGTCAGTTGCTTGGCAAATGTTAGTTCCTCTTCCCCCTGGGTAGGGCAGACTGAGGGGGTGCTAACAGGAATGGGGTAGGTAGCTGGGGTCAAGAACACACAGCAAAGAGGGATTCAGACTGGATGTACTTGGCAGAGGCCTTCTTAGCAGTCAACAAGTAAGTGCACGCCTCCAGCCATCTACTGAACACGCATCCAGCTCCCACCCATGCCACCAGCCCAGGGTCAGGCCTCGGGGTCTCTCGGGGTCTGCAGGGCCCACTGGCCGACCCAGCATCCCCAGAGACCCAGACTACCTACGTGAAGAAGGGGATGGGCTGCACCAGCTTCAGGTCTGGCTCCTTCTCCCGCACAGTCAGTGCCTGCCTCTTCTTCCGCAGCCCCAAGGCCTCGTCCACGATGGCCTGTGTCTCAGCTGCGCTCACGGACACATCATGAATCGACATGTCACTAACAGCATAAAACAAGGAGAAATTACTATGTTAAAAACTAGAGCTGAGGCTTAAATTTTATAGACGGGATACAGTTAAGTTAACACCCTTTAATCTATATTAATTCTTCTTACAAATAAAATAACCACTTGAGTCTGGCCTTGAAAGGGCAATAATTAGCATTCTTAATGCACACATATACTAGAAATGACTAATATCCTTTGTTCCTTCTATAATTCAAAATTGAGCAAAGGGTTTTCATGTGTATTAATAGTATTTTAATAATGTCAGAAAAACCACAGAAAAATAAAATCTTGCTCTCAATTATTTATAGAAAATTTTTAAAGAATTTAACTAACCCATCCTGCCCATCCCAACAAAATGTTACCAGACCAGGCAAGCTCACCAAAGTCTACGGTGTCCCCAAACTACAGAAACGGCGGGGGCTTTGAAGCCTCAGGTGCCCTCGCACAGACACAGCTCTGTCTGAGGTGGCCCAGCAGTTCCTGCCCTCCTGCCCAGAGTGCCCTGATGCCTCCCAACATGGCTCCACAGAGTCACTCGCTTATGGTCTCACATATCTGTTTTGTCTATCTCTCCAAAGAAGGTTAGTTCCTTCAGGACAGATATGAACAAGAGGCATAGTCTTACAAAGGACAGACACAGAGGTAAGTAACCACTAATTCCCCAACAGGTGAGTTCCAGGGGCCAAGGAAACACCAGACCGCAGAGGAGTTGGTTTAGCTGGAAGGTTCAGGGAGGGTGGCAGCCAGAGTTGGGAAAGCTGCCAAGAGGTGACCTGGGAGCTGGAACACAAAAAAAGGAGCAATGGCATGACAGGTGGAGTGGTGGGAAGAGGGCATTCCAGGTGACGGCACAGTGGGAGCCAGAGTGCACAATGGGGCCAGGCCTGGAATCTGCCAGGGACCGGGGGCAGCTCTTCTCCTGTGGAAGGGAGAAGCAGGAGGCGAGGAGAAGAACTAAGCGGGGGGGGGAAGGTCAGACAATAAAGGACCTCCTGGGTGATGCTCCTGAACATGAGCTTCATCCTGGAGGCAAGGCATGGGTGGCACAGGGTCAAAGTCGTGTTTGGGACAGTGAGCTTGGGCAGCACTGGGAGCAAACCCCTGGAAAGGGGAATGGCGAGTGGCAAGTGGCAAGGTGGGTGGCAGACTGCTGCAAGCATCCAGAGGAGAGCTAGTGAATGCCAAGAGCCAGGCAGGGCAGTGGGAAATGAGGCAGCAGACAGCCAAGGAGGCATCACCAAGATCAGGCACACAGCTGAGTAATAAAGAAGGCAGATGAAAGCCAGTTCCCAGATGAGGGGGTGCAGCAGGGGAGGAAATGCAGGGACTCCTCCACCAGGAGATCAGGACCTGAGAGAACAAGGTGCACACGCCTTCCGACAGTCACCAACCACACGGGGGCAGGGAGTGTGTGCAGGCCCAGCACGGGAAGAGGCAGGACCCACCATTTGAGGAACATTCGGAGAGAGTCCTTCCTGAGACAAGGCTGCTCCTCAAAGATCTTCTCCTTGAGAACCAGCCCTTTGCTGTACCGGCAATCTTTCTCCAAAGCTTTGCAGATGAAGTACAGACATGCTGGCGGGGAAAGAAACAGTATGACTTCTGAGTGTGCACTCTAAACCTCCAGCCTTGCCAGCTAACACCAAGGAAATGTGCCCACTCCAGAATCAAAGAAATGCATGGTAAACAATAACAAGACACCACTGTAACTGATTCAACCAGGAAAGATTTCTGTAAGTACCACTACCCACCGTAGACAGGGCAAACCCAAACGCTACCAGCGGAGGGCAGGCTGCATGACCTTTCTGGAGAACCACAGGCATTACACACAGACACTTCTGACCCAATAATCCACTTCTAGGAATTGCTGCAAAAAACCTACAGGTCTCACAGTGATTAGCTATTGACTAATTGGAAGAGCCTTCAAAAAATCAGGAAACCACTCAGTGCCCACCATATGGCCCAGTAAGAAGGTTTCCCCGATCCCCACACTGGGTTACTGAGCAGCCACTGTACAGACAGTTGAAGGGTGTGCTTACTGACCAGAAGGAAGACCACAAGACAGCCTGGGGAAGAGGTGGGGGACCAAACAGGCCATATAGTGTGACTCCAGATGTACACAGAAGACTGGCTTCTATTCCTTTTGCCTACCTGTATTTTCCAATTTTTCTCCTTTTCTTTTTCTTTTTCTTTAAAAAAAAAGTTCTTTAAAAAAAAAACAAAGTTAATGCCTGCAGTTGAAGACATGGACCTCATTCATGTCAATAAATGAGCCTTCTCAAATTAATAACATGGAGAGCACATGCCAACTCTGGCTCCTCCAGGAGTGAGACGGTAACAGGGAAACTAATGCACAGAGAAAAATGGGACAGTGTGGATGCACGAGGCAGAGCCAGAACATGAATTATGAAAGCCTTTAGTATTGGCAAGTGGCAAGAGCCCCTGACAAAGGTGGCTGCTCTGAGTCCCCAGCAGGCTTGGTGCTGCCAGGCACGTCACAGGTGATGTGAACACACGGGGAAACGACACAGTGCAGCAGAGTGCCAGCTCCACTCTGCCCAGGCACACACCATTACTGTGCCCTACCCCACTTCTAAGTGTGGGTGCAAGTCACTCCTCTCAAGAATAACCAGAAAAAGAAGGAGCCAGGGGTGAGGAGGAAGGAAAGCCAGAGCAGAATAGAGATTCAGGCACGGAAGCTTTGGGAAAGAGAAAGCAGCAGTGTCCTCCTAGTGTGCTATGCGGGAGAGAACAGAGCCTGGTCACAAGGCTCTGCAGGGACCGCATGCCCAAGGCACAGGAAGACTGTGCAACCCGTGAGCAGGGAGGGCGCGGCAGTCTCAGCGCTGGCCCAGTAAGCTGCTACTGAATGGCTAGGGAGGTGGCCCAGAGGTTCCTGCCTCACACAAACAAAGTCATAGCTTCTCTGGGACCACAGGGGACAAGAGAGTGGCCATTAGAGACTTCCAGAGAGAAAAGCAGGGAGGCGCTGAGCATTTGGATGAAGCTCGTTCTCGGCAGGCATTTTAGCGGCAGTAAAGCTCACCACGCTAGGTGCACCACACAACACTTCAGCGGAGAGAAGGCATGAACCCCAGGCCTTCTCATGAACCCCTGCCCACTCACCTCAAACGTGAACGTGACACTGGGTGTCAATTTAACAGGCTGCTTTTACTTCTGGGTTTAGATGAGTGTAAAATCTATCAGGACTCTCAAAGATATATGCATCAGCCCAATCCCCAAACCTGTTTTTCCCACAAGGACATAAGTTTCCCAAGCACAGTTTCTCCTATCATGAGAGAGGGGTGCAGAGAACTAAATCAGGTGGCCAGGGAAAGAACGCTGAACACAAGACTGTCCACCTCAAGGTGGCACTCGAACTGTGGGAAGAGTGTCCAAGAAGAGACTAACAGCCTCTGGAAGAAGACGCTGCTAGAGACAAAACAGTGCCCCACAGGGACTATCATATTCTGCTGGTAGGAGTGAAAACTCGGGCAACCAACAGAGCAAGTGCCTACACAGTGGAGGAAGTGTATAGAACGTTCACAGCAGCATGATGCAAGAGCCCAAGCCTGGAAAGAACCCAGAAGGGCAGCGCAGAATGGCCAGACGTGTAGATGCACACAGCAGACCACGCTGCCATGAGAGAACCCAGAGACTGCCACACCCTGCACAGCTGCACTCAGAGAGGACGGCCACAGCCAGGGTGCCAGGCCGAGAAGAGCACATGCCACCAGCTGACACCACCCAGAGGAGGCTCGACAACGACAACAGGCAGAGCTCATCTCTTGTGACACAAGGGAGCAATCAAGGTCACCTCAGGGGGTGGTAATGACTGGAACAGGACCCAAAGCAGCCTGCCTGTGGGCTCTGCAAGTGTTCCGTACATCTTGACTTGTACAAAGCGATGGATCTCAAACTTGTGCACTTTATTGTGTATATACTTTACCTCAATTAAAAAGATTTAACAAGTGGTTATGAAGAACAAGAACTGAAGGTGAGGATGAGTGAGCAGGTCCTAGTGGTCTTCGACATACTCCATCCTGGTGCTATTTCTTTAAAAAAGGAAGGAAAAAGCCTCTGCAAGTCAGGCTTCCAGGCTTAAACCTTCAAAGTGGTAAGTGCTCGTCAGCACGTCTGCCCTGAAAAGAATAACTGGGCTCTACCGGGACCGGTCTGCAGCAGGCACAGCCTGCTCCCATGGACTCAGCCCTGCTCAGAGTGCTCCTGGAAAGCCAGCCTCTGCTCTGGCCTCAGAGGGCACCCAGAAGAGGCTGACCGCATGGGAGGCCCAGAACACCTGAGCAGTATCTGCCTCAGGACCAGCCCATGCAAGGAGCAGATGCGTTCTCTGCAGAGCAGAGGGCAAGGTCGGGCCAGGGAGCTGAAGCAACTAGAACGCAGACTGGGGCTCTGTCTGGCAGAGACCTTTCCAGTAGCCCTGCTGCTCTGCAAGGGAATGGGCTGCCTCAAGAGGTAGTGAGGTCCCCGGCACCAGAAGGAGTCAAGCTATAACTGCTAGGCTGTCTGTCAGCAAGTTATAGAAATGGGTTCTGGCACAGGATGGGATGATGCAGGTATAAAAATGAAACCACCAAAGGGAAAACCACTCAGAGAACATGCTACTTACTACTACCATACACTTGATAAATCTCAATTGAGTAAGAAAGACAAGCAGAATAAAGCAGGGATGCAAAAACAACTCCATTCTCCCTGACAGTGGGCAGAAAGCTCCTCTGTGTTTTCTTTGGCTTCCAACTTACCCAAGCCACCCTCCTTCTGTCCCAAAAACACAAGCACATGGGAGAAAGCACCCAAGTCTAACTCACTCGTGTAGTCGCTGAGGGTGTACAGGACAGTGATGAGGTTGTCCAAGCAGGGCCAGTGATCAGGATTGCACCGCAGACCTTCCTCAAAAGCATGGCGAGCCAGGGGGACCCGGATGAGCCTCAGGGCCACGTGTCCGATTTTATACCAGAGGTTGACATCCGTGGAGTCCAGCATGACTGCCTGGAAGCAGCACAAGCAGGGAGCGCAGACACACTCAGTGGGCTCTCTCCTGAGCAGGGTCCCATGGTGACGGGAGGGGCGCAGCATCAGCCTAGCCGCTCAAACCACCCAGGCAAACGGCCAAGAGAAGCCACGTGGACCAACTCATCTGATTCAGAACAGTTTCTTGATATATTTTGTCATTCTGAACATCTGTATTCCTTACATATTTGACAGGTAAAAACAGCGAAAGAAGTGGAATTAAAAGAAAACATGAGGGTCTTGTGGGATTCTGGAAAGATTCTGGGCTCTGGAGACAGACCTCAGGTCACATTCCTGCTCCTACAATGACCAGCAGCATGATCCTGAGCCTTCATCTCATCACTGAAATGAGGATAAAACACCTTCCTTGCCAGACGGCGTGAGGATGAGCATATGAACGGAAAGCAGCTAGCACAGTGTCTGGCACATCAGAGGGGCCCACAGAATATAATGGCAATACTATTATGAATGAGTACAGAGTACCCAGTGTCAGGCTCTGTTCTTAGCACTTGTAAATGTACCAATTCGTTTCATTCATTCATTCACAACCATCCTCTTCTTTTTTTTTTTAGATTGACACCTGAGCTCACATCTCTTGCCAATTTTTTTTTTCTCTCTTTCTTCTTCTTCTCCCCAAAGCCCCCCAGTACATAGTTGTATATTCTAGTTGCACGTCCTTCTGGTTGTGCTGTGTGGCATGCTGCCGCAGCATGGCTTGATGAGCAGTGCCATGTCTATGCCCAGAATCCGAATCGGCGAAACTCTGGGCTGCTGAAGCGGAGCGAACAAACTTAACCACTTGGCCACAGGGCCGGCCCCCAACCACCCTTTTCTTTTATTACTCCCACTATATTGGTGTAGACCTGGAGGCCCAGAGAGATTAAGCAACCCACCCACAGTTACATGTGCCTTGAGTGGCAGAGAAAGAACTCATATGTAGGCTCTAAACTTGCTGTTGTCACTCACTGACCAGGGCCTCAGGCACTACAGCTTGGTGATGCACCACTACAAACTCTTCTTTCCAGCCAACAAGACCAGAATCTCGCCCCCTGCAGCAAGAACCTTCAAACACACCAAGAGAGCTGAGCATTGCTAAAAACGCACCTCCAAGTAGAATTCCATGGCTGTCTCCAGGTCCTCTCGCTGGGCTGCCAGCTGGGCCAGGTTCTTATATGTGGAATATTTCAGCATCAGCCCAGGGTGTTTCAAGCCCTCTTTCTCATCACCCGATGAAACTGCCTGTGAACAAAACAAACAGAGGAGCAGAAGTGACACCTAGGCCCTGAAGCTCAGCAGGCAGTCTGCAGGACACCTGGCTTCTGAGCTGGCCTCTGCCACAGGCCCTTAGGCCTGTCTGGGCCATCCTCACTGGAGAATCAAAGTGCTACACCAGATGCTGTTAGAGGACCCCTCCAGCTCTGAGCACACAGAGAAGAAAGGCCAGACCACCAAGAGGCAGTTTTCAGGCAGTTTGGACACAAAAAGAGAGAGAGGGAAGAACCCTCTCACCGCTCCTGCCATGCCTGAGAGTTCAAGCCTGGAGCCAGCAGCTCCCCATAGCAGGTGTGAAGACGGGAGGAGAGGGTACAAGAAGGCTGCCTTGGGGCAGCAGGCAGGTGCCCAGGCAGCCAACTTATACCTCCCTACAAATCCTGCAGCAGGAAGAGCACCAGACTTGGAGTCAGGAGGATGAGCTCCCAACTCTAACTCGTCACATGACCATGGACAAGTTACTTTATCTAAAAAAGTTAGTGTCCCAAGGACCTCTGTCATATAAGGACAACAATTCCTACCCTAAATATCAAAAACGAAAGTGAGCCAAAAGAGAATAAAGATTGTAAACATGCTTTATAGAAAAAGTTCTCTCACTACAGCTTTTATGACAACTCCTAGAAAAGCTTATGACTTCTAAGAAACCACTGATTAGAAAAATTATTGCTCTAAGGCTGGCCCGGTGGCATAAACAGTTAAGTTCGCACACTCTGCTTCGGTGGCCCAGGGTTCGCCAGCTCAGATCCCTGGCACAGACCTATGCATCACTTATCAAGCCATGCTGTGGCAGGTGTCCCAGACATAAAATAGAGGAAGATGGGCACAGATGTTAGCTCAGGGCCAATCTTCCTCAGCAAAAAGAGGAGGATTGGCCAGAGATGTTAGCTCAGGGCTAATCCTCCTCCTCCTCAAAAAAAAAGAAAAACTATTGCTCTAACCACACGACAAAGAGTAAAACATTTTCTAAGAGAAAAACTCACTGGCTCAAAGAAGTTCTTTCCAGGGTCAGGTCCACATTCCAGCTTTGTCCTGGGACAGGTCACATTCACTCGTCATTCATGTTTGGAACAGGCAAGACTAAAGGACATATACTCTTCCAGGATGCACCCCTTGACTAACCCAAGAAATCTACCCCAGAGCTCTTAAGGATTCCATCAAGAAGACTGAAAAGCTCAAATCAAACCTCATTCACTCTCTTCTACCGTCGTCTGGCTTATACTGCAGAAATATCTCCAAGAACGGGCTAACCAGGGCTGGACTCCAGGTACCTTTGCCCTTCCAGGTACAGAACTGTCCAAAAACTTGTGTGAACAGTTACAGAGGATGGGTCTACTTCAGAGACTAGATGGTCAGTGATACATCCACACACAGCAGTGGATGCTCTTGTGATTAACTAACCAGCTGGATTCAGCAACACTCTCCATTCTCCCTAAAAAGAACGCCGATGCCCTCGGGAGACAAAAGGTTCACCCCAACAAGCCCCCTCCAGCATCCTCACCAGCTAAGCTATACAATTCTTAGAAGTCACCTGTGTTCCAAGGCCTGTTTATGCCAAGTGTTTGTAAGACCGTAATTATGTAAGTTAGTTTAATATTAGGTACACTAATGCCAAATGAGTGTGAAAGAAAACTTTTCTGTATGTTTTCTGGACTTTTTGTTTACAATGAGCATGTTTTACTTTTATAAGCAAAGGAGGAAAGTGCTAAAACAACGCCCCTCCTTTTTTTTTGCTTGAGGAAGATTGGTCCCTGAGCTAACATCTACGTCAATCTTTCTCTATTTTTCGTATGTGGGATGCCACCACAGCATGGCTTGATGGGTGGTATGCAGGTCCACACCTGGGATCCAAATGGGCAAACCCTGGGCCACCAAAGCGGAGTGCACAAACCCAACCTCTATGCCACGGGGCTGGCCCCTTAAAATATCTTTTAAGGCTCTGTCCATAAAGAGAGATGGACACAGCTGTGACTGGCTGACACACAGCCAGAGCTCTTCAAGGGAAGGCCTGTGCCTGGCCTGTCAGGTGCTGGGCCTACCTGGCATCAGCTCTGTATTTAGACTGTTGGCTCAGGGCTCTGCTTACCCGCTCACATCTCCAAGGTGCCCTCCGCTGTGGCCTGAGAGGGAAGACTCACTCCTGAAACATGTGCAGCACCTGGCCCTTGATAGGTGGAGCTCAGTAAAAGTGGATAAAGTCATCTCTCCTCTCTGGGCCCTCACTCACTTCCCACTAACAGGAGAGTAGTGGGTCACAATCCCCACGGTCCTAATTCCAAGACACCAAACCAGCACCAGAGAATCTTGACAAGCTATACAATTAGAAATATGAACAGATCCCTTGAGTGAGAGAAGGGATAGATACGTTCTGCTGACAATTAAAACTCAGTTAGCATTGCCTCATCAGTGATGTAAATCATCCAGGGGCAAGGCTTAAGACACAAGTGTCTGCCTTCCTGGGCCTGGAGGAGACTCTGCTCAACTGAAGGACTGTGTTCCAGAAAATGCCCGTGATGGAGTCTGTCCTTACGCTTATCGTCTCTGTGTTTGGTGTTTGGGTAGCTGAAAACAAAAGCTTTCCTCCTAATGAAATACACATCTTCCTAAATCAATTTCAGGTTGCGATCCATTCAACGAACCTCCAAGTGACAGCTCCATGACCCAGCCAACTCAGGCTTAATGCACTCACCACTAGCATGATCCCTACCCTGGATCCAGGTCTGGCCCTGCCTGCCCCTCTTCGCCATACCATGTCCTAAGGTGGCTCTGTGTTGCTCTCCCAACCCTTCTCTCCAACTATGTTTTTCAAAGGCTCCCTGCGCTTATGGGCCGCCATCCAAATGGTGTTCACAAAAACGTGCTGCCGACAGATTAGGTATTACAAAACCATGGGTTCCAATCCTGTCTCTAACACTTCATAGTTGGGTAGCTTTGAGCCATCAACACCTCACTAAGCCTCCATTTCTACATCTGTAAAATGGGGACAATACTCCTACCTACCTGGCAGAGTAGCTGTGAATATTAAGTAATAATGAGAGTTGACACTTAGGGAGCTCTTACTATGCACCAAGAACCACTCTACATACTTCGCTGGATTCACCCAACTGGCACAGCAACCCAGTGAAGCAGACACTCCACGGGCAGGAAGCTGAGGGACAGGGAGGGGAAACAGGTGTCCAAGGTTATCCAGTCAAGAAGTGGGAGGGCAGAGGTGAGACCCAGGCTCCGTGGCTCCAGGGTGCAGCACCTGGTCTGCTGGTGCCTCACCTCTCGCAGCAGGCGCGCCTCCAGGAGCTCATGGTAGGCCTTGGCAGACTCCTCAAAACGGTCATGTTTCTGCAGATCCAGCGCCTTGTGGTACAAGGCAAAAGCCTCTGCCTCCTACGAACCAAGACAGAAAATGTTTTCACACAGTATAAAAGTTTGTCTTTTTAAGCCAAAAACGTATTTAAAGGAGGCTGCAGTCAAGGCCATGTTGTTAACTGTCAGCTGCACCCTCTGTAGTGGAGACAATCCTAACACTATAATCTCCCAGGAGCTCAAACTTGGGAGAAGAACCCCTCAGGAGCCCCTCAAGGAGACACGAGCAACACAGGCTCACCTGCGTCTAAACAACAGCAAAAAACATAGACCCAGGACACGGAGTCAGAGCAACGCCAAGGTTATGAGCCAACTGGCCCTTTTCAGTTGAACTCTGGAGAGTGGCCACAACAGCTAGAATAACCCAGAGATTCCTAGAGAGTATGGATGGTTTCCACTGCTTTCTATCTGCCACTCTGCCCTAACCTGATCATTGCCCAGGGAGGGTGACAACCTCCTCTAGGATAGACGGGGCAGTGATGTCCCTTGAGAATCAGGGACAGCTGACAAGTAGACTTCTGAGAAGGCTCCGGTTTGTCCTGGTTTCTCCTGTGAAGGGGGAGGTATATGTTTATTTCAGAAAAAACACAGATAGGCGTGAACCCTTATAATATTAAGGTAGGACGTGGGTGGAGAGATGGAAGGAAGGAAGGCTGAAACGGAAGCATTGCCAGGCCTCATGGTAGAGAGGAAAGACCAAAAATCTAGAGAACTGAAGTCGAACCTGGCTCCCCTACCAACCTTCAGGAAGACCCAAGCAAGGCAGCATCCTCAAGGGCCTCCTCACACTGGAGAGTGAGTGGAGAGTCAAGACAGCACCTACATTACTATGCTACTAGCCCCTGGGGGTGCCAACTCCCAAGGCCTGCACAAAGAATGGGCCGCATGGAAAGCCAGCCCTGGCCGGAGAAGTGGCCCAGGGGCTGAACTGGCCCAAACATACACTCACAGAATAATTAAGAATTTCTCTTCAGTGTGACCATCTCTAAGTGAAGCAAGTTTAACATGACATAGAGAGCTGGCCATGTTTCCAAATGGGATTTTCCTCTAAAGCCTCATTAAAGAGACATCTGAATGCATTTAAAATGAGATGCCATCTACAGAAATGAGAAGCAAGGTCTACCTGCAGAGAAAGACCAAGGATTACATACCTGGGCCTCCTTTGTCTGGGTTTTGTGACTTTTAAAGCTTCCTTCATGATCATCCTCAACCGTGGAGCTGGCATTTAAGGCTGCAATTCGAATCTAGAAACAAGGGTTTGGGGGAAGAGAAGAGTTGCTTTTAGTTGCGATGTCACTTGTCTCTTCAACAACCCACAATAAATACAACTCTGCTCCATCATATAATCTATTCTGCCTCGACCAGCTACGGCCTTCACAGAATGTGGGGAATGAACAACAAATGATCATCGAAGGAAAAAATAAGGACCAGAACATGTCTGGGGGAATCATGACGTCTGTTCAGGAAGCATGTTCTGGGTACTGTCCACTGCGAAAGGAACAGAGGCTGGGGACACCCAGCAATGGCCCAACACAGCAGAAGACCCGGGCATTCAGAATTGCAGGTTCCAACAAGACATATTAACTTTGTACCTTTCCAGTAACAGTGAGGATACCCGGCAAGCCACTTCAATAGAAAGTCAAGCGTCCACACCCTTGAATGTGCCAACGGCTCTCCCAGGAGGAAGGCTGCCCCATATTGAGAGCCTGCAGGGTCCACCCAGGAAAACGTCCCTCCCTGCCAGGAGTGAAGTGAAATATGCAAGCATCAGTCCTTACCATACTCAGAGAGCTTCAGCACTGCTGCTCAGCACTGCTTCCCATCACTGGCAGGGGTGTGCCACTCCACAAATCTCCTAGAGCAGAAGCAGGACAGACTGAGAGAGGGCCCATGAAGAGCCAGGAATGTCCCAGCACCAGGGGCCCACCGGGAACCAGTCCCCAAACCCACAGGCCTCCCTAGCTCTAGGCACACAGGCTGGTGAGCAAATGCCTCGGGACAGCTGTGTGTGCTGTCACCCATGGAGCCCCTCAGTCCCTCGGCCAGAGCATCTGCCCTTGCCAGGCAAGACACCAGGTGCTGGGGACACAGAAGGGTGAAACCAACTCTTGCCCCCAGGGCTCATTGCTCAGCAGAAGCAAGAGGCCTAGAAACAACTACTTTTTTCAAAAGTTGAATGAAATAAAAAGAAATACAGGTAACATCGAAGGGTGGAGAAGAACAATGCATTTGAAGGCATCAAGGAAGGTGAAGGAGTAAGCCCTTGCATGAAGCCTTGAGGACTGCACAGCACTGCAGTAGAGGGTGGTGAAGCAGAGGCAGGGAGGGCGTGGTGTGATGGGGAAACAGGGAGACAAGTGACAGCCAACAGAGCCGGGCCTCAGAGCAGGGTTGGGCGTGGAGGACGGCAGGATGCCATGCCAGGGAATCGGAACTTTATTCTGGAGGCAACAAGTTTTCGAGAGAACAAATTCTAGAAATGTAAAGGAAAAAAAAATTACAAGTGGGCAGGCCAGTTTGAAGTCTGCAAAAAACGACAGGATTGGTGAGGATGTGGAGAAATTAGAACCTCATACACTACTAACAGCAATGTAAAATGGTGCAGACACTGTGGAAACCAGTCTAGCAGCTGCTCAAAATGTTAAACACAGAGTTACCAGACAACCCAGAAATTCCGCTCCTAGGTATCTACTCAAGAGAAATGAAAATGTGTGTCCACGCAAAACTTGTTCACGAATGTTCATAGCAGCATTATTCGTAACAGTTTAAAGGTGGAAACAACCCAAGCATCTGTCAACTGATGAATGGATAAATAAAATGTGGTATATCTATACAATGGATTATTATTCAGTCATAAAACAGACTACAGTACCGGTACATGCTACAACACAAACTTTGAAAACACGCTAAAGGAAAGGAGCCAGTTACAAAAGGCCACATATGTCTGATTCCATTTATATGAAATGTCCAGAACAAGCAAATTTATAGAGACAGAAAGCAGTTAGTGGGTCGGGAGAGAAGGACAAATGGGGAGTGACTACTAACAGGCACAGGGTTTCTTCCTGGAGTGATGAAAACGTTCTAAAATGACTGTGGTGATGGTTACAGCACTCTGTGAATACACTAAAAGCCACTGAATTGTACACCTTACATAGATGAACTGTATGGTGTATGAATTATGTGCTATGATTAAACAAAGAGATGCCAGCAGCCTGGATGGGGCAGGGGCAGGGACAGTGGGGATGGAGGGGACCCACTCCTGGAGGCAGACTCACAGAATTCGGCACCCGGCAGGCTGCAGGGAGCAGCACAGGTTCTGGGTGACCCCAGGGGTTCTGGCCTGAGGGGCTGGGATGGGGAGGTGGCACCACCAAACAAGCCAGAGAGGGCAGAGGAAGAAGCCAGAAAAAGTCCCACCTGAGAGGCTGACAGAAGGTCCTGGAAGGGCCCAGCAGGCAGTGAGAATGAGCTTTGGCAGCGAGACTGAACACGTGCTCCACCTAGATAAAATAAAACAACCACTACTATCACCAACAGTGTTTACAGCAATGACTTGGAGCATGGGCTTCCACAATGGGCTCTGAGTTCTCCAGTGGTTCTTATAAAGAAGGAAGTATCATCTGTTTCACAGACAAGGAAGACTCAAACCTCACCCAGGCTGACAGCTATTTTATCTCCTGGGTTCTACAATTAGAAAAAAAGAATGCTGTGGATTAAGTGTGGAAACTGCTGCTTCACCATAAGCTATGCCACGATGGACACTGTGACCACCATACAATATGAAAACAAAAAAAAAAAAGTGAGAGAAAAGTAGAAACTATAGCATTAAAACTCTGCACCTAAGCTATTATTTTTAAAAAACACACTCACAGAGAAAATGAGTGTAGGCAAGTATGTGGAGAAATTGGAACCCTTGTGCATTGCTGGTGGGAATATAAAATTGTGCCGCCACTGTGGAAAACAGTAACGCAGTCCCTCAGAAAATTAAACACAAAGTTACCATACTACCCAGTGTTTCCACTTCTGGATTATATACACAAAGGAACAGAAAGCAGGGTCTCAAAGAGATTTGTACACCCACGTTCACAGCAGCACTATTCACAACAGCTAAAATGTGGAAGCAACCCAAGTGCCCATTGACAGATGAATGGATAAGCAAAATGTGGTATATATATATAATGGAACATGATTCAGCCTTAAAAAGGAAGGAAATTCTGACACATGCTACAACATGAATATTATTTCAGAATATTATACTAAGTGAAATAAGCCAGTCACAAAAGGGCAAATACTGTATGATTCCACTTACATAAGGTATCCAGAATTGGTAAATTCATAGAGACAGAAAGTAGAATGGTAATCACCAGGGGCTAAGAGACAGAGGGAATCGGGAGTTACTGCCAAATGGGTGCAGTTTCTGTTTGGGATGATGAAAAATTTCTGGAAATAGATTGTCGTGATGCTTATACAACATTTTGAATGTATTTAATGCCACTGAATTATATTTTTTCAATGGTAAAATGGCAAATTTTATGTTGTCTATATTTTACCACAGTTTAAAAAATTACCAACTAAAAAGTGAACAAAAGACTTGAACAGACACCTCAGCAAAGAAGACACATAGACTGCAAGAAAGTGCATGAAAAGATGTTCAACATCACTAGCCATCAAGGAAATGCAGATTAAAACCAGGATGAGCTACTGTTACACACCTATCAGAATGGCCACATTTTTTTAAAAAACTGATAATGCCAAGTCCCAGTGAGGATACAGACCAACCAGAACTCTCACACATTGCTGACAGGAATGGAAAATGGTACAGCCATGCTGGAAAACAGCTTCTTATAAAGTTCAACATACCATATGACATAAAGTGCACTTACCACATGACACAGCAATCTCACTCCTATTTACCCCCAAAGAAATGTTCACACAAAACTTACACATAAATGTGTATAGCAGCTCCATTCAAATTACCAAAAAGTGGAAACAAACCAAATATCCTTCAACAGGTCAGAGGATAAACTGTTGTGATAGATCATATAAATGAAAACTGCTCAATAAAAATACTGCTTGTGAGGCCGGCCCGGTGGCGCAGTGGTTAAGTTTGCAAGTTCAGCTTCTTAGTGGCCCGGGGTTCGCCGGTTCAGATCCCGGGTGCCAACATGGCACCACTTGGCACGCCATGCTGTGGTAGGCATCCCACATATAAAGTAGAGGAAGATGGGCACAGATGTTAGCTCAGGGCCAGGCTTTCTCAGCAAAAAGAGGAGGACTGGCAGGCCACATTGAGACGGCGTCCCACATAGCACAACCAGAGGCGCTCACAACTAGAATACACAACTGTGTACTGCGGGGCTTTGGGGAGAAGAAGAAGAAAAAGAAGATTGGCAACAGATGTTAGCTCAGGTGCCAATCTTTAAAAAAAAAAAAAAGGGACTACAGCTTGTACAATGGAATACTACGACCAATTGAAAGGAACCAACAATTGATACACGTAACAACTTGGATGAATCTCAGAGGTCTTATGCTGAGCGAAAGAAGCCAGTCTCAAAAGGTTGCATACTGTATGATTCCAGTCACGTGACATTTTCGAAATGACAAAACTATAGTGATGGAGAACACATCAGTGGTGGGCAGGGAATGGCGTCTATAATGGGGTAGCATAAGGGCATTCTAGGGGGTGATGGAACTGTTCTGTATCTTGATTGTGGTACTGGTTACACAAATGTATATACATGTTGAAAGTCATCAAACTGTACACCCCAAAAAAGTCAAATAACTCATTGAATTAAATTTAATAAATATAAAAATATTTTAATAAAAATAAATACAATTTTTTAAAAGAGTGCAGGGGAGCGATCTGGCTATCAGATAAAGTACAATTCAAGCCCAAAAGTATTAAACGTGACAAAAGGCACAATTCACACTGATGATATAACACTTAAAAATTTACACCAGGGGCTGGCCCCATGGCCGAGTGGTTAAGTTCACGTGCTCCGCTACAGACAGCCCAGTGTTTCGTTGGTTCGAATCCTGGGCGCGGATGTGGCACTGCTCATCAAGCCACACTGAGGCAGCGTCCCACATGCCACAACTAGAAGGACCCACAACGAAGAATATACAACTATGTACCGGGGGGCTTTGGGAAGAAAAAGGAAAAAAATAAAATCTTAAAAAAAAAAAAAAAGAATTTACACCAAATAACACAGCATCCAATTTTAAGCAGCAAAAACCACAACAGATGCAAGGACATAGACAGAAACACAGTAATAATAAGAGACTTTCGTTCACCACTCTCAATACAAGACAGATCAAGTGGAGAAAAAATAAGTGAGAAGAGAGAAGATCTAAACAAGAAAACAAATAGAGGAGATCTTACGGATGTGTATCAAACTCTACACCCTGACGACAGAGACTACATATTCTACTCCAGAGCTCACAGCGAATCCACAAAAATCTGATCATATGTTAGTTCACAAAGAAAACACCTTCTATAAAGTAAAAATATTAAAAACAACACTCCCTGAGCACAATACATCTAGAATTTACTAACACCATCACCACCAACAACAGAAGAAAGGTTCTTCTATCTAAAAAATTAAGAACCTCCTATTAAACAACTTCTCGGTGAAAGGAAATGCAACTAAAATTGGAGAAATTTAAAGAAATACTAACAACAAAAACACACATCACATGTGTGAAAACACAATGAAATTAAGGGGAAAAAAAATCATATGATTATCTCCATAGAAGAGAAAGCCTCTGACACCCGAGAAATACAAATTGATGGATGCTTTTTCAACAAGGTACAATATATATACCTTAGTCCTAAAACCAAAATCTTGTTTAATGGAAAAACACTAGAGGCATTTCCATTAATATCAAGAGCAAAGCAAGTTACCGTTACATCTGCTACTATCCACCATCGTACTAGGAGTACCAGCAATGCAGTTAGAAAAGGGAAACCAGTTAGAGGTATAAGAATGGGTAGAGAAGAAGTAAAACTAGCATTTATTGCAGATAATATCATAAAGGACCTGGAAAACCCCAAAATCAATGATAAAACAACTCAGTTAAGTAACACAGTATAAAATTAACATACAGGGCTGGCTCAATGGCACAGTGGTTAAGTTCACGTGCTCTGCTTTGGCGGCCCGGGGTTTGTGAGTTTGGATCCCAGGAGCAGACCTACACACTGCTCATCAAGCCATGCTGTGGCAGCATCCCACATACAAAACAGAGGAAGACTGGCATGGATGTTAGCTCAGGGCCTATCTTCCTACCAAAAAAAATTAACATACAAAAATCAATAGCTTTCACATACACAAACAAACAGAAGACATTACGGTAGAGAAAAACACCATTTGCAATAGCAAGAAGATGATTAAATACTTGGGAATAAAGTTAAGAGAAATGTGCAAGCTATGCATGGAAAATTTAAAAACTCTACTGAAAGATACTAAAGTAAACTTGAACAAACAGAGAGACATTCTCTGTTCTTGGACATGACTCAACATTATCAAGATGTCAGTTCTGCCTAAGTTAATTTATAAATTCATGCAATCCCAATAACAATACCAACAAGATATTAGACAAGTTGACACTAAAGGTCACACAGAAAAACAAAAATGTAAGCATAGCTAGGAAAATAGTGAAAAAGAAAAGCCACAAGAGGGGATGAGCACCACCAGACGCTAAAACACACTATATAAAGCCTTAATAATTAAAACAGTGGTACTGGTACAGCAGAGACAGAGAAACCCAGTCTGGAATTAGACTCGAGTACATATGGAAATTCAAAATATGGCAAAGGTGGCATCTCAAATTACTGGGATTAAGATGAACTTTGTAACAAGTGGTGCTGGGACAAATTAGTAGCCATTTGGAAGAAGATAAAATTAGATCCATACCTCACACCATATACATAAATAAGCTCCAAGTGGATTAGAGATCTAAATGAAAAGTTAATCTATACAAGTACTAAAAGAAAACATGGATGAATTTCTCTTTAATCCTGGTATAGGGAAAGCCTTTCTCATTATGATTTGAAATCCAAAGGCAGTGAAAGAAAAGATGAATAAATTTAACTACATAAAAATTTTTAAAATTTTGTATGACAAAAAAATCAGAAAAAAGTGAAAAGACAACTGATAAATTGGAAGAAAATATTTGCAACATATACCACAGACACAGGGCTAATATTTCTAATATATAAAGAGCTCTTAAAAACTAAGGGACGCAGCATTATTCACAATAACCAAAAGGTGGAAGCAATCCCAGTGTCCACTGACAGATGAACGGATAAAGAAAATGTGGTATATCCATGCAATGAAGTATCATTCAGCCTTAAAAAGGAAAGACTTTCTAACACATGCTGCAACATGGACGAACCCTGAAGACATTATGCTAAGTGAAATAAGCTAGTCACAAAAGGACAAATACCATAGGATTCTATTTACAAGCGGCCCCTAGAACAGGCACTTTCACAGAGACAGAAAGCAGAATGGTGGCTGCCAAGGGCTGCAGGGAGAGAAGAATGGGGAGTTATTGTTTAATGGGTACAGAGTGCTAGTTTGGGAAAATGAAAAAAAGTTCTGGAGGTGGATGCTGGTGATCGCTGCACAACAATGTGGACATACTTAACACCATAGAACTATTAAAAATAGTTAAGGGCCTTGTTGCCTAGTGGTTATGTTCAGCGCACTCCACTTCAGTGGCCCAGGTTCCGTTCCAGGCACAGAACTGCATCACTCATCGGCAGCCATGCCGTGGCAGCAACACACATACAGGAGACAGGAAGACTGGCACAGATGTTAGCTCAGGGTGAATCCTCCTCAAGCAAAAAGAGGAAGATGGGCAACGAATTTTAGCTCAGGGCCAATCTTCCTCAGGGGAAAAAAAAAAGTTAAAACGGTACATTTCATGTTAAGTGTATTTTACCACAAATTAAAAAAAAAGAGAAAAAACCTGAGGGACAAAAAAACCCCAAAAACCTGATAGAAAAATGGGGAAAAGATATGAACAGACAACTCACCAAAAAAGACATACACATGAAAACATATGAAAAAATGTTCAAACTCACTCATAATTAGAGAAATGCAAATTAAAACAGCACTGAGACACCATTTCTCAGCTATCGCAGTAGCAAAAATTAAGGTAGGACAGACAGCACACTCTGCTGGTGAGGAAGTAGGGAAACAAGCACTATTCTTATACATTGTTGGTGGGAGTGCAATTACAACCGAACTTGAGGTGCTGGCTGGTGGTATAGTGGTTAAGTTCACTTGCTCCACTTCAGTGGTCTGGGGTTCATCAGTTTGGATCCCAAGCACGGACCTACACAGGGTTCATCAGGCCATGCTGAGGTGGTATCCCACATAGAAAATAGAGGAAGACTGGCAGAGATGATAGCTCAAGGACAGCCTTGCTCAAGCAAAACGAGGAAGACTGGCAACTGATGTTAGCTCAGGGCCAATTTCCTCACCAAAAAAAGAAAGCTGTGACATCTCTTTGGTGATATGAGTACTATAAACAATTCACAATGAAAGCATCAGAAAAAAAAAAAGCAATGCCTCTTGAGGGAAATTTGACAATACGTAACAGCCTTTCAACTCAGCAATTCCACTTCTAGGAATCTACCCTGAACATTCAATTTACCTCCAACAATACGAAAATGCACACGCACAGGGTTATCCACTGCAGCACTGTTTGTAATTGCAAGATATTAGAAACAACCTAAATGGCTATGGACAGTAGAGTGATGGTACATCCACACAATGAAGTAATATGCAGCTGTAAAAATTAATGCGAGGGGGCCAGCCCGGTGGCACAGTGGTTAAGTTCACACGTTCCGCTTCAATGGCCTGGTGTTTGCCAGTTCAGATCCCGGGCACAGACATGGCACTGCTTGGCACGCCAGGCTGTGGTAGGCATCCCACATATAAAGTAGAGGAAGATGGGCACAGATGTTAGCTCAGGGCCAGTCTTCCTCAGCAAAAAGAGGAGGACTGGCAGCAGATGTTAGCTCAGGGCTAATCTTCCTCAAAAAAAAAAAAAAAAAAATTAATGCGAGAATGTTAACAGCAGCATTATTCATGATAACCAAACAGTGGAAACAACCCAAATGTCCATCAACTGATGAATGAATAAAATGTGGTATATCCATACAACAGAATATTATTCAGCCATAAAAACGTAATGAACTTTTGACAACATACATGAACCATGAAAACATTATGGTAAGTAAAAGAAGCCAGTCACAGATCACACACTGCATGATCCTATCTATATGCAATGTCCAGAAGAGGCAAATCTATACCGACAGAAAGTAGATTAGTGGTTTCCTAGGGCTAGGGGAGGAGGTAATAGGAAGTGACTGTTAATAGTTACAGAGTTTCTTTTGGGGGTGATAAAAATGTTCTAAAATTGATTGTGGTGATGCTTGCACAACTCTGTGAATATACTAAAAACTGCTGAATTGTACACTTTAAATGGGTGACTGTATGGATGTAAATCATATATCAATAAAACTTTTTAAAAATGAACAGGATCTCTATGAACAGATATGAGGTGATTTTAAGACAAACTGTTAAGCGAAAAAAGTAAACACAATTATCTATTGCATGGACCTTTCATACAAGAAAGAAGAGGCTATAAGAAAATACACGACCATCTGCTCATTTGTGCAAAAGAAACACAGAGAGGCTAATCCAAGCCTAAAGAGACCACTTAGCTGCCGCGGGTGAGGGGGAAGGGTGAAAAGAAGGGTAGAAGGGCACAGGGTGGCAGGGCTGAGGAGGAGCGACACTTCTCTGAGAATACCTCTGTGCAGAGCTCTGACTCTCAGAACCACAGTCATGTTTCCCACTCCAAAAGAAAACAATTAAAATTAACTAAGATCTAGGGGGAACCCCAAATGGAATATACGAACAGCGAACCTACTGTATGGCAAATAACATAACCACGCTGAAGGGCATAAGGAAGAAAAGAACTAACCTAAGCAACTGTGGAAAACAGCAGCTTAACTGGATACTGTAAGGCTAAGGACAAAAAGAACTGTGATTCCAGGGCTGGGGCGGAGGAAATACAAGATGAACCTGGAACATCTTGTGGTGCCACAAAGTAAGTGGTCAAAAAAATGCTGAGGGTTTTGTTGACAGGACACAGTAGCTAACCTGAAGGAGATCCTAAATAGCCACAGCCAGGATAATGTTCAACAAAATAATGAGAATATTAGATTTTAACCCATAGAATAATATGAATATCCATGGGGTCCATCCTAATACAAATAAATAATCAAATAAATAAATGAGAGAAGGGATAGCTCCTTCTTCAATTGAATTTCAACTAATAAATGTAGAAGGAAAGAGAGAAATAGATAATTACCTTTAGGCAAACACCACAAAAATCCTGTAGATGCTAAGGTCAGTGGTAAACAGAATCTGCATCCTCTCAAAGTATCTCCCCCAAGATACTTACAACTAGAAAGGGAAAGATAGCAACTTCACAATGCACAAACCCAGCAGACACCAACTAAATCAAGCGATCAAAGTAAATATCACCAGTAATAAGACACAACATCTTGAACTCCTCGATATGACAAACTGAGAACACAATGTTTGTTATTCCACCTGAAAATGCATAACCTCACTCCAATCATGAGAAAACACTGGACAAACCCAAATTCAGGGATATTAGACAAAATAACTGATCACTACTCTTCAAAAGTAGCAAGTCCAAGAAAGACAAAAGACTAAGGAACAGTTAAGGACTAAGGAGACTAAGAAGAAATGACTAAATGCAACACGGGATCTTGGACAGGATCCTGGAATGAAAATAGAACACTGGTGGAAAGACAGGTGAAATTCAAACTAGGTCTGTAGTTGAGTTAATAATATTGCACCAATATTACTTTCCTGTTGTTGATAATTATACTACAATTATGCAAGATATTAACGAGGGGAAGTAGGGTGAGGGAAATACTGGAACTCGTAGCATTATTGTTGCAACTTTTCTCTAAAATTAGTTTTTCAAAAAAGTTTAAAAACAAAGAACCATTTGAGATTAGGTATTTATCGTCTGTAAGCAATATGAGGATGGGGACCCCGTCTGTACTGTTCACCAAAAACCCACTAAAAGGAGATTTAAAAAGGAAAAGAAAAAAAAAAGTCAGCCATTTACAAAGATGAGAAAGAAAGTATCTACTCATCTCTCAGACTCCCAGCCCAGCAGCGGCACTTTGTCAGAACAACACATTCAGGAGCTAAATCCTACGAGTTTCCAAACTCTTCAGAGTGTGGTCTTCATGGCCTTAAGAACACATGATAAAGAACAGCACACTCTGCGCACCTCACACCCTGATCCAGCGATAAGTGGCGATGTTCCCTGGTGTGCTCGGGCCTGCAAGTCGCCACGCCTAGGTCTTCTGTTCAGTGTGGCACTACCAGGTTGAGTGACTGACTTGGCATAAGATGCCCCTCTCTGGGTCTCAGTTGCCTCCACTGCATGAGGCTTTGAACTAGACCAGGGGTCCACATGCTAACTAGCCCACTGTTTTTACACAGCTGAGGAGCAAAGAATGGCTTTTACATTTTTAAATGGTTGAAAAACTTCGTGACACATGAAAATTACACAAAATTCAAATTCAAGTGTCCATAAATAAAATTTTATTGGAAAACGGCCACTCTCTTTCGTATTGTCTTGGCTGTATCCACAGTAGACACCAGAGCTGAGCAGAGTCTGGCCCACAAAGCCTAAAATACTCTTAAAGGTATAATTATACTTATATTCACAACATATTACAACAGTATTATAGTCTTATATTTGAAACAAAAGTTTGCGGGCCCTTGAACCAGTCCTCTCCAAGGACATTTTAGTTCTAGCCACGGTGTGAGCCACATGGAAGGCACCTGGGAGCCGGGAAGGCGACCGTCCCGCGGTGACGACCTGCAGCAGCCCAGGCCCCGCAGACTTCGGCGGCGCCCGGGCCAGGGGCGCGGATCCCGCGAGCGCAGAGCTCTCCCCAGCCAGGGCCGCCGCCTCCGGGGAGGCAGCGCGCTCACGGCGGCCCGGAGCCGGCCCGACCCACTGCTAAGCTGGGTGACTGTGGACGAGTCCCCGCACCTTCTCGGCCTCGGTTCCCACCGCGCAAAGGCGTGAATCACCGCACTCACCTCGCGGGGTTGCCGTGAAGGTGAAGCGCAAGGACGCGAGCAGCAGGCAGCGCCGGCTCTGCCCCGGCGGACACAGAAGCTATGGAGACTCCTGCTGTGTGCCCTGCGAACCACTCCCGAGGCCCGGCCCGTGCTGGGCACCCGCCGCGAGCAGGCCCGCGGGGAGGCCGGGAAGCCCAACCTCGTCGCTCCCGCGCTCCGGCCTCGGTTTCCCCAACGGCAGCACTGGGGCTGCCGAGGAGCCCCCTGCGCCGGCCGCCCCTCAGGCCCGCGCCCCCGCCTCCGCCGGGGATCGGCGGAGTCGCGCCCCCCGGGGGGCGCCCCCCCCACTCGCACTCACCAGGCATCTCCACGGCAACGGCCCATCCGCCCCGACCCCCGCGCCGGCCGGCGGCGCGCCTGACAACAAGGCGCGCTCCCATTGGCTCCGGTGCCGGCTCCGCCAGCCAATCAGCGAGCGCGCACGCGGCAGCCGCCCGCTCGCCTGCCCCGCGGGCCAGCTGGGCCCACGCAGCGGCGTGGGGTGCGGCGCAGGGTCCTGGAGCGCGTCTTAAAGCTTCGTGGGCAAACGGTGCCTGCAGTGCTGTGGGCTCGGAGCGCCGGCTCGCGCTCGGACTCTCGGTTCCATACATGCGAAAAGCCAGGCGCGGTGCCTGGGTCCGAGCAGTCGCTACATGATGGGCTGTGTCTTTGTTGTTACAACCTGAGACAGGTGCTCTGAAGGCAGTGGAAACTTGGGGAACATTTAGAGGGGACCGGGGGAGGAGGAGCATTCTTCATATTACCTGTGCATCACGTCTTTCCCGAAAGGATTTGAAGCCCAAAGGCACAAATACAATCAACTATTGAAACAAAGGGGGTGGGGCGACAACCAAAGACCCAGTGAACGAGGGAGTGACATTTCCAGAGCCAAAAAGAGGGTCCAGCATTGAAGGGTTGCTGACAACGGCTCCGGGCTGAGCGAGGCTACTCTCCTGGGAGCTAAGCATTTTAGGGAAAAGCCTCACACCGTGGTTGAACTTCATAGCTGCTTGAGTCCAGCAAGGATGATTTAAATAGGAATGAATGTTATGGCTTTCTAACTTTAAAGGCTGTAAAATCCTTGTGAAGAACTCATGGAGTCAGTTTAGGACAATAAAGCTTTACTGATATACGAGAGGTACAAAAATAATTGAGTCACCAACCTTGATTTTGAGAGGCATACAGCCTTGGGGGACAGAGGCAATGAACAGCATAAACAGAAGGTTTCAAAGTTTCATGGACAATATGCAACCTTGGATGCAGCTCCCACCCCTCTGAGTTGTATCTTGGAGGGTGCTCTGGAGTAAAACAGTAGAAGAAAGATGGGAAGGGCTATCCAAGCAGCAGGGAGCTGTGTAGGCAAGGGTTTGAAGGTGAGACACAGTGCAGTCCATGAGGAGCCTTGGCCAGTACAGTATTATCAAGGACAAAGCTCAGGGCCACAATGGGGAGGGAGAATGCTGGAGAGGGAGGAGGGGCCAGTTCCCACAGCAAGCAGGTAACATTACTCTCACTACGGTGGGGGTGAGAGATTTAAGGTGAGGAGACCAGATTGGAGGGTGCTGCTTTATGGTCCTGGTGAGGGTTAGGCCTGAATTCCTCCTTGGGCACTTCAACCATTCATTTACATTCAATCCACAAATCTTCCCCGTGTTCCTCTGGGAAGCAGGACACCCGTGTTGGCAGAACGAATGAGTGCGAAAACAGTTGGGACAGGGAGCCAGGAGAAGGAACCCCAAGCTCTAGGTTTTAAGGAGTCCTCAGCGATGATCAGGTACAAACACAGCAGGCACAGGCACATGCCGTTGGAAATTAACTTTATTAACTAGGTGGGCTGCATAGACTGAAAACCTCAACTTGGTATTTCATTGGTGCACTAGACAAGGATGATCAAACTTTAACTGTGCAGGGAAGCAGTGCCCACCACACTGTCTAAGAGACGTAAACTCTTCATTGAACATCTGGAAGGAAACAGAAAAGGAGGCTTCCTTTGGGCTCCTCTCACTCTACCTGTATATCCTCTGAAATGCAAAAGCATGATATGGTATTTAGCTGGGTGGGGGGGGGATCCCATTCATTCAGTTTCCAGTGGCAGACACTGTGTTGCTGGATTTGCCATTCTGGGACATGGATTTTACAAGATGCACAGCTACAGAGAACTCTCAGCAAGACTCATGGGAGAAGACAAGAGTTTGGCAATGCCCAGGGAAGGTCCCTGAAGCCCAGGCCGCCCTGCTCTCCTGCTGGGCACAGCAGTCCATGGGCAGGAAACTGCCCAGACCAGCCCAGGCTGAGAATGGGAACATCTGGTCAGCAGAGTCTGCAGGGAGGCCCAGGCTAGACCAAGCTTCCGCCCCCTCCCTACCAGCCTGCACATGGGCATAGAGAGCAAGGCCTCCAGGCTGAGCCCCCCACCCTCAGATTTGAGCAGTCTAAATACAATACATGAAAGAGCAACCCTGAAGACAGGAAACCTCCCACCTCCCAGGGTCCCTAAAGTCCCCACCTCAAAAACCAACCCGGTGCTGCCCAGGTGGCCCAGAATGCCGGGGATGGGTAAAGGGAGGAAAAGAAGTCATGTCTGAAAGACGAAGCTCTCTTCATTTATTTGGATGACAATGGGGAAGAAGAGGATCATGAGGTCACAGGCATGTCTGCATGTAGGTGTGCCAGACACTGGTATCCACCAGGCCCTCACTGCCAGGAGGCCTCTCTGGAAGGGGCCACCAGCTCACAGATGCCCTGGATGCTCTCCATGCCAATCATAAAAAAGTCATGACGGTCCCCTTCTTGCCAATCTGCCAGGGCTCCAGGGGGAAGAAGCGGATTATTATCCTTCAGGAGACAAAGAAAAAGATGTCATCAGCTCCTTGGCTAAAGCCTTCTATACCAAGACCCCTAGCTAGGCATTCCCATCATGGGCTCCTAAGCCAGCCTGCCTTGGCCCACCAGGCATTTCACAAACCTGCCTCTCCTCCCAACCTCCAACAAAGCAGTGGGTCTGTCAGGGGCAGGATGGTGGCTGCACGTCACTGTGACCCACCCAGGAAGGATACTCAACACAGCAGGCCTCTGTGGTCACTGTATGCTCTGTCTATGCACTCAGAGGGGCAGCCCTCCCTCTTCCAAACTGCAGGCTCCCAAGATCCCCTTTGGGGGGAGTATGTGTGACAAGCTCAGTTTTCTCATCTGTAAAGGGGCATGTTGGAGGTATCTACCTCATGGGGATAGCATGTCTGCATGAGGGGGTGTGGACAGGGGGACAGAGCTTGTGAGGATCAAATGGGATGATGCATGTAAGCTATCTATAGAGCACCTAGCACATTGTAAATATTTGCATGTTACTTATGGTTGTTAGAATTATTCTCTCTCCTCACCTTGAGGACCAGGTCCACGCATCTCCCAGGAGTGACCATTCCTCATCAGACTTTGTGGGCCAACAAAGGCTCCATTCTGGAAGGTTCTTTCAAGCTTCTCATGCCCTTAGATCCTCATAGGCACAGACTTGGCTCAGGAATATTTTTCCCCCAGGAAGAAACTTTAACCTTGCCACAGAATCCCAGGTCTGGGAGCTCTAGGGGCTTCTTGGGGGGGGGGGGGGTAATTTAATCCATGCCTCTCTTCACAGAAGAGAAGGCAACAAACCAGAGATGGTTCATTTCCAGGTTTGTCTGGGGTTCCTCAGCTATGCTGGACTGAGAACCCAGGTCTCCAGACATCCAGACCAATGCTCTTTCCACTACTCTGTGACCCTGCAAGGAGCCTTACCTGGGACCTGGTTGGGCCACAGGCCCAAAGGTCACAGCCTCAGGACATACCCAGAATTCTTCCTCACCAGCCTCGAGAAGTTCTCCTAGAAAATCACTCGTGATTTTCTAAGGTGTAAGCAGATGATAAATGGCTATGGCCTTGTCAGGGTAACAACATCCTAACCTGCCACCCCAAGCAGCGCCCCGAGGGAGTGGTTAAAAAAGAGCCTTCCCACTTCACAGATGGAAACACTGAGGTTTAAAAGGCCACGCCTTGCCCAGGTGTCAGAGAGACAGCTGCAGAGCCAGGAATTCATTCAATTCTGATACCACGCTGAAGGTCGACCCACACCACCAAGGGGCCAGAGGGGTTAAGGGTCAAGTCTTCTGCAGTGGGAGGAATTTATTTTTTTCCTCCAACTTTAGGAGGGGTCTTGAGGTAGGATCACTGCTCCTGGTCGCGCAGCAGGCCCAAGAGGGTCCTCTCCCTGCCCCTACCCACCGGTCCTGGTCCAGCCCCAGCTCCTTGGTGAGGAACTCGAAGAGGCGGGCGCTGTGACCGCGGTTCTCCTCGGCCGTGCCCACCACACCGATGGAGGAGACGAGCAGCTGCGCGCAGGGCTCCGGTGAGCCGTTCACCGCCATGGCCAGGCCCGGCCGCAGGGTCGCGTTCACGCGCTGCAGGGGACACGAAAGTCTCGCCTGAAGCCGCTGCAGGCCGGGCTCGCGCTGGGGACCGAACAGCGCGGGGTCCGAGGTGCACGGGCCCCGCGGGATCAGGGCTAGGGACACGGGCCGGGGTCCCTGAAGGTCACGTTGGGGTCATGGGTGGGGAAAGCTACAAAGAGCAGACGGGAAGCGTGGGACCGCGAGGTCACGAAGAGCAGGAGGTCAGAGCTTGGCGGGCAGGCTCGCGAGGGTCCCTGGGAGGAGGAGTTGGTTACGGTGGGGCAGCCGGGGCGTGGGCAGAGCCCGACCCCTGGTCCACCAACCTCCCCCAGCCCCGTGCTCCCAGGCCCAGGCTCACGTTCTCGGGTTTGCCCAGGATGGCGGCGGCGGCCGCGCAGAGCCGCTTCTCTAGTCCCGCGGGCACGCGATCTGCGGGCAAGTTCGTGTCCAGCTCAAGGAACGGCATGTCTAGCAGGAGAGCGCGCAAACGGCCACCGCGGAGAAAGAACGCGTCCAGTCCGGGCGGATGTTCCAAGGGTCACAGAAGAGGGAGCAGGGGCGGCGCCGCGGAACCTGGGCTCCTCATTGGGTGGGCAGGCACGCAGCGCCCCCCAATTGGCTGCCTAGGCTGCACCTCCGGCCTGAGCGGAGAGTCTCGGCTCACGCTGGCGCCGATTTCTGGAAGCCCTGTCGCCCCGCCCACTCCGCGCAACCCCACCCCCAACGAGACAGCAGCCGAGCCATGGTCCCGCCCCCGCGCTGCCACACCGGCGGGGGTTCCAGTCCCCTGTGGCTTTCGGGCGCTGCGGTGTCTGCTACCTATCGCGCATTTAGATGGAGTTCTGAACACCCACCAAACACACATGCCGTAGGGGCCTTCCCCAGGCTCGACCCTAATAACGTCACATCGTCACAGAGGCTTAACAAATTTTTTAATGAGTTGCCACTATTTCAAATTCAGGCAACTTCACGTTCGCTGTGGGAATCTGCGCTTCTCTGGATCAGGAGACCCGGTGACACGTGTGGGCTCGGGTAGGGCTGGACGGAGACCCTCGGGCTCACTGCATCCCTACCTGGTCCCCACAGACGTCTGCTTTTGTGACCTCTTGCCTGTGGCAAACTTGCCTCACAGCCAAGTACTGTCCACCAGGGGATGAGAGAGAGCCAGGTCCCAGTCGAATTCCCGGCAATGCTTCCGGTACCCTCCATCTTTACAGGCAAAACAAGTGTTACTTAAAACGTGGAAATCTGTTGATATGGCTAAACGTGGTACTCTCATCAGTGTTGCAAAGTTGTTTGAATTGTAGATGAAAATATAATTGTGTGGGTGTATATGAACAATTTCAATTACACATCTAAAACTCTACACAAGCACACACATTAAAGGACCCCCCACAGAAAGGCAGGCTGGCAGGCGAGAGGCTCTGTCTGTTCATGACCCTGTCCATTAGCAGTTTATTAGATGACTCGGGTGTCAGAGGATCTGGAACACAAGGCAGGTAGTTTGTGACAGTCCTGAGGGGAAATGACAGGGACAGGTGGCAAGGGTGGACCCACAGTGGGGCAGGGAGAAGACAGTGATGGGGATTATGAGTAGGTATGGGAGATCAAGGCCTGTCAGCAGCTCCCGGAGGGCCAAGAACTAACCTGGGACTTCCCATCCTGCAAGGAGGTTCCTGCACCAGCCCGGCACCCCAGCTGTGGGAGAAAGCGTCATCCAGAGGGAGAGAGACACCTAGGACACTGAGGCCTGATTCAGACATCTCTTCACCGGGCCAACCCCCACCTGTGCTCAGCCCAGGAGGCATGGAACCAGCTCCCTGCCAGGCCTGAACAGGAAAGCGCTGGGGCTGAGGAGCCCAGAAGGGTCGCCTGACTCGGCCTGGGGCTGGGGAGGTCAGGGAAGTCTCCCTGGAGAAGCAACATGGTGACAAATGCCAAAAGACCTTGGGAGGCACCACGCAAATAAGGTGAGGAAGGGCTCTATAAGCAGTGGAAACAGCCTGAGCCAAGGCAAGGAGTACTGTGTGCAACCTGAAGCGGGCAGCCTGGAGCGGCGGGAGCAAGGCTTTGAATGCAAAGTTTAATAACCTGTACTTTAGTCTCAGGGCAATGAGTCACCATGGAAAATTTAAAACAGAGAAGGCACAGGGTCAAATATGTGTTTATTAAAGCTCTCTGCAGAGGTCACATGGAAATTGAACTGGAAGGGGTAAGAGTGGAGTGAGGAGACAGACAAAAGAAGGAATGCAGGCCTGATGCATGGAGGGAAGTGTGGACCAGAGACTATGCTTGCTCACAGCCAAGGAGAGGCATCTCTTTATTCTGACGACAGAGTCTCCCTTGTCGTCAGTGGCTCTGTAGGCCTGGCTCCCTACTCACTGCAACAAAACCTGCACCGCAGCCTTCAGCTTCTCCCTCATGGCCAGGTCCAGTGGAGGCAGGTCCTTGGCCTTCATGAGGGCTGCATGGGCCTCCTGGAAGAGGTCCTCCCCCACCGCGGCCTCCACACGCTGGCGCCACACTGCCAGCTTGGGTCGGCTCTTAAAGACTTGGCAGCCGGTGCTGACGGGCTACGGGGAGAGGGAGCCGGGTGGAGGGGCTGAGCCCGGTCAAGTGCAAGGCAACCTGACCTGGTTTAGGGATTCCCATGGGGTGTTTTCCCTCTTCTGCCACCCGTGTGATAGGCTAGGGGTTCTCTCCCAGGAGACGGTGGGAAGCTCCTGAATATCCCTGCAGGATTTTGAAGCCTCCTTTCACAGATAAGGATGCTCAGGCTCAGAGGGGGAAGTGACTCACCCAGGGTCCCACAGCAGAAAGGGCAACAAGAGCTGGTACTTTGGCTCCCTCCTAGGACACCCCACTGCACATTGGCCCACTCTACCCCTGGGCACTCACATGCATCAGCTCTGTGATGGCCACCAAGTCAGCCACTGAGATGTGGGGCCCGGTGAGGAAGGCCTGGTCCTTCAGGAACTTGTCCTCAAGCAACTGCAGGTTCCTGTCCAGCTCGGCCAGAGTAGACGCCAACGTTTCGGGGGGCACTTGTACACCCAGTAACACAGGGCCCAACAACTGGTGGGTGGGCAAGCAGACAGAAGGCTCAGGGTCTGCACAAAACCCAGCCTGGTTCCTGCTTTCATCCAATCTATCACCAGTCCTTCAGATTTCTCTATGCTCCTGCCCATCCCTTTCTACCCACGGCCACCATCAGCCCAGGCCTCATCTCCTACTCCAAAAGGGACAGCCTCTACCTCTCCCTGGGTCCTCACACAGGACAGCCAAGGGGATCCTTCTGCAATCCCAGTCTGCCTACATCTTCTCCCTGCATAAAGCCTTCCATGGCTCCCCACTGCCCTCACCACAAAGGCCTCAACACAAGGCCCTCACCAGCGCAGCAGCCATCCTCTCCCCACCCCCAACCTCCTACTCCGCATGTGAATCCCTCTGGGATCTGGTTAAAGTGCACATTCCTAATCAGTATGCCCGGGTGGGGCCTGAGACTCTGCATTTCCAACAAGCTCCTAGATGATGCTGATGCTCCTGGTCCATGGACCACCCTTTGAGTGGCAAAGGTCTACACTCACTCTACTCGACTTCTCTCCATCCTACCCTCAAATGCATCAGGCTCCTGCCCCCACCAGCTGGAGGGAGCTCCTCTCTCAGGCCCTAGAGGCTCAAGGAAGACACTGTTAAGGTTATGGAAACTACCTTTTGCCAAATGGCCCTTCAGAATAGTGGTACCCTCCCTGCAGCAGGGCATGAGCATGCCCACATCACGCTCCCTCACACACAGGGCACCCACTTCATGCCAGGCACTATGTAAACACTCTACAAATAATAACTCAGAGCACACATTGCAAAAACATCTGCACATTTGATAAGTAAAAATGGTACATGCATGCTGTTTTAATGTGTATCTACTTGATTTTTACTGAGGTTAAATGTGTTTTCATCCATCTATTGACCATTTGTCTCTGTCCTTCAGTTAACTCTCTGCTGGTTTCCTTTGCCCACTTTTCTCCCGTGTCTTTGTCTGATGGGTTTCGAAGAGCATCTTAAATATTAAAAACGTTACTTCTTTCTAACATATCTTTGCCAAGATCTTCCCCAGTTTTTTGCTTGTTTGAAGTTTAATCCTTTTTTCCTTACACAAAATGTCATTGTTTGTGTAAAATCAATTACTCCTTCTTTAAGTCTGCCACTGTTCTCAGGCTTAGAAATCCTTGCATACCCAGAAATAAGACCAACATTTATTGAAATGTCTCCTCATTTCTTCCTAGTTTGAGTTTTTTCGCGTAACTTCACCTCTCCATCTGGAAAGTATATGTGTAGCAAAGCGAGCATTTGATTGTTTTCTCCCCCAAAAGGCAGTATTCCCAGGCAGCCAGGAGTGTGCAAAAAGGCATAGGATTAGTTTCCAGAAGCTCAGAATCAAGGCACATTGGGAGAGTCACTCCTTGGCTCTGTGCCTCAGTTTCCCCTCTGAGAAACAAGCTGAAGTTGGTTAGGCCAGGGAGTCTCTGTCACTCTGGAATTTGGTGTTCTAAGGTCTCAGGTCTGAACGGCACTTTTTAAACAGAAAGCACCATCCCTTGAGCATCCTGGAAAGAGTCCCCACCCCTCATGAGCTACACGTGGGGTTGCAGCTCACCTTCTGCCACATGGCCCGGCTACAGCTACTCCGCAGAGCTGTGTGCTGCCACGCCAGGTACTCATCCACGCGGGCACGGGCCTGCAGGTCCTGGGGGTACCAGTGGTCAGGGGTCTTGTACTTTCGGCTCAGATACAGCAGGATGGCCACACTGAGGGACATGGTAGAGTCACTTTTCAGCTACTCCACAGGGGCTGGACTCTGGTTGAGGCAGGCCCCCCGCTCCTCACATGTCTTTCCCCAACTCCAGTGGGCGGAGCATTTCACTATCTCCATGGTGCAGAGTAGGAATGTGAGGCTCAGAGAGGTTAGGTGATTGCCCAGGGTCACACAGCTCTACACTGAGCCATCCTATCATCTGAACCAAGGGGACCAAGTGAAAAACAAAATGTCGTGGGGTTTCAGAAGGTGAGGGGTGTGCTCAGAGAAAGCTTCCATGAAGAAGAGGTACTCAGCATGGTTCTGAAGGATGAGAGCAACTCCAGTACCACTCTCCAACAAATTCAAAGCATGGACGTGCCAGGAGCAAGGCCAGGGGTCCCTCCCAGCCCTGGGTTCCTCTGTCCACTTTAACCCACTCTCTATCCTGAGGCTGGCATAGGTGTTCAGGACACACAAGCCACAATCCAAGCCATCAACAGCGGACATGCAGGTGGCTGACTGGCCCCACAAGGCCCAGTAGCAGCCCAGGACCCGTTACCTCTCAGCCAAGGTGAAGTCCCCATCCTTCAAGGCTGGCACCTTCCTCAGGGGGTTTACCTGGACAAAGGCATCGCTGTGCTGCTGGCCTGCGAGAGAGACCAGTGAGGCAGGTGGGGAGAACTCTGAGCACTCTGAGGCCTCCCTCGCCCCCCCCCCCTCCCCCCCCCCCCCCCCCCCCCGCCCCCCGGCCCCGAGCCTGCCGGGCCCACCTTTGAGCAGCTCCACGGTGCGCAGCTCGAAGGGGATGGCATTCTTCTTGGCGAAGATGTAGACGGCGCGGCAGGGCTGGGACAGCAGGTCCAGGTAGAGCTCCAGGCCCATGGCGGGGGCGGCGGCGCTGGCGGGCGGCAGCCGCGGCGAACGAGACGCGGAGCAAGAACGACCAGCAGGAATGGCCAGGCACCCAGGTACAGCCGCGCGCAGCCTCCGGCGCGAGCCCGGCCACGCCCTCCCCGCCCATTGGACGGCTCCGGAAAACTTTGGGCCAATCAGCGGCGCCTCTGCGCTCCCGCCTTCCCTCTCTAGGGGTCAGGGCCGCTGGTCTCTGCCCTGGTGCGGAGCGCACAGGGAGACCTGGGCTCTGACCCAGGGCGGGGCGAGTCTCGCTGCCAGGTCATACCCCTTCCCTGGACCTCAGTGTCTACGTTCGTCGAATGGGACGGGGGAATGGCAATGGGAAACGACGCCAAGGGTGCTTCCAGCACAGACCCTCAGTGAATTTAAGATCAAAAGGGCTGGGCTTCCAGCAGAGGTCCCAGGCCACCTCCCCTTCCCAGGGAGGGGCGTGGGAGAGGTGGGCCTTCGGAGTCCCCGAGAACACAAAGGGAGGAGAAAGGAGGTGCAGCAGCCTCTCCTGGGCCGGTGCCCCGAGTCTGGGGAGGGTGTCTGGACCCGTGCTCCCTACACAGGCTGGGCCCCCAGCCCAGGAAGGAATAAGTCATCCTCCCAATCCCTAAGGTCCTATTCATCACCTTTCAACTAATCCCTACCAGGAAGCTGAAGCCCTGTGGGACCCATCTGAAAATTTGCAGGGCTGCCTGGAACTCCCCCACCTCCTTTACAGGGCCAAGTCCCTCCAACTTTGGCCCTGGGACTCCTGAAACCTGTGGTTATTGATGAGGGTTCTTTTGGGCTGGTTATTTTTGAAAGCTGCAGACAGGAAGGAAACTCTAAAGGTTGGAATTTGCTTGCCCTTTGATGAGAGACATTTACATTTGCGAAGGAAGTCTCCATTTGTGGGGGTGTCTCCCTCTCTGCACCAGGAGGAAGGGGGGATGGCCTTATCTCTAGAAACTCTTAATGGGGAAGCATGGGACGTCCTGACTTAATCCAATCTGATTCTTATCTAAAGTTACAGGACCACCCAATAATCAGACCCCACCTGCACTGATACCATTTTAACGACTTTTTTTTACATGTTCTTTCCTTTGTCTTGTAAAGAGATAATTCACATACCTATGCCTTAAATTTAGCTCTACCCTCAACCCATGCAGCAGCTCATACTGCCCATGGATGCTGTCCCCATGCTATTCCATACTATTCTCTAAATAAAAGAGCACCACTGCCAGACCTTGAGAGTCCAAGAAATCTTTTTTTCAATTCCTCGCCTCACCGAGCCCGCATCAGCTATGACACCCCCATTCCCTAAGAGAGCCTCCTGGGTAAGAAGACCCTGCCCCCTGAGCTAACATCTGTGCCAATCTTCCTCTATTTTATGTGGGACACCGCCGCAGCCACAGCATGGCTTAACAAGCCGTGCCAGGTCAGTGCCCAGGATCCCAAGCTGCAAATCCCAGGCTGCTGAAGCAGAGCACACAAACTTAACCACTATGTCACCGGGCTTGCCTGGGGACTGCCTCACTGGCCTAGTGCTGTAGCCCTCTCCAGGCTGGGAGGGCCATGTTCTCCACGCCCTTCAGTGGCCTGCCCTCCTTGACAAGATACCTTTGGCGGGATTGCAGCATCATCCATGCTCCCTGCTTCCTCCCTGGCCACCCTCCAGTCCAACCCCAGCAGCCAGAATATTATTCCAAAACGAAATCTGAGTGTGCCATTCTTCCTTATGGTTTACAGCTCCTGGGATGGCACTTAAGGTCCTGCACGACTGAGTCCTGACCAGGAGAGTTGCTGTCTAGATTTTTCCCTTCTGAGCAATTCCTCAGGACAGATGCAGGACCTGGATCCACAGTACCTGGTGGCAAAGGGCCATGTCCCTGGGGGCTGGCCCAGCCAACTGATCAATCACCATGTCTACAGCCAATACATGAGGGATGCCTGCCGACCCCCAAGCTGTCTGATAAATCTCTTTCTCCAAGAACAAGAAGTCTAGTGGGCATTGTTAATTTTGTTCTTGGCAACCATCTGGGGAAGTAGACCCACAGGGCTTAGCCAGGGGAGTTGTCTTTTGGATAGAGACCAAGACCAGGGCCAGGAGAGAAAGAAGGTCAAATCAACCACACATCCGAGTTAGAAGCAGAGGTTCAGGCTGAGCCCAGGTTTATTTCCCAAACTGAAAATGAAATGCAGTGATTAAAGGAGACAGGTCTGGGTATGCCGTTCTCATCATGGTTTTCAGGCAGCTGTGGAAGATAAGGTGGGGTAGGGACCTGGCCTGGGTGCAGTGGGACTTGGGCAAATCTCTCCAAGGGACACTGGAAATGAAGGTGCTTGGTGAACGGCCAAGGGCAGTGCAGGGGCGAGGCTTCTCGGCTCACTGGATCAGGGCCAGGATGCTAGGCCTCAGCTTCTGCTTTATGGTGGGGTCTGCAGGTGGAGAGTCCTTAACCTTCAGGATGACCTCATGGGCCTCCTGGAAGAGGACCGCCCCCACTGCCGCCTCCACGCGCTGGCGCCATGCAGCCAGCTTGGGTCGGCCTTCGAAGACTTGGCAGCCAGCACCCACGGCCTGTATGGAGAAAGGGGTAGGGATGGGGGTGGAGGGGTGAGGCCAAGGATGGCAGCATCTGCTTGATTTGTGAGAAGAGGTTTCCACACATAAGCACAGGCCAGGTAGGGGTGCATAAGCAGGACTTCAGCGACCACCCAGGGCCCCCCTGCCTAGCAGGCCCACACTGCCCACAGCACTCACGTGCATCAGCTCCGTGATGGCTACCAGGTCAGCCAGGGAGATGTGGGGCCCAGCGAAAAAGGCCTTGTTCTGGAGGAACTTGTCTTCAAGCAGCTGCAGGCTTCCATCCAACTCTGCCAGTGTGGCTGCCAGCATCTCAGGAGCTACCGGCTCACCCATGAACACAGGCAACATCAACTGGTGGGTGGGCAGGCAAAGTGGGAGGTTGGGGCCAGCCCTGCCTCAGGGACAGGAAGGTAAGCCCCTTCCCCTCCTTGGAGCTGCTTCCTGGTTCCCTACACCTTTCTTCCATGGCCTGGCTAGGCCTACAGGGAAATTCCCGAACGACCCCCTTTCCCAGAGATATTCCTGCTTCCATGATCTCTGATTGGCTAAGCCTTGGGGGCATCTGACAGAATGACTCAAACGGAGGCTGAACAATGAGTTTCATACTTGGGGGGGCGGGGAGCTGGCTTAGGAAGTATCTATTTTATAACCCCTTTTCCCCTGAATATAAAATCAGTACCTCTTACAGTGTAAGTAATTAGGAGAATGGGCTTTTAAGGTCCCCACCATGTCAATTATAAACTGAATGACATACAGCAAAATACTCCAATCCTCTGAACCTCAACTTCATATATAATATAAGAATAATAGTACATGACTCATCTTGTAAATAGAAAAATGAGGCCCAGAGAAGGACAGTCAGTTGCCGGAGACAGCACAGCCAAGAAAAGTCTAAGCCAAGCGTAGAACCAACAGCATCTTCTGACCCAATGAGATACCAGGGACTAAGGAGGGAGCCAGGGAGAGTGGTGTCTAAGCCTCCGGGAGGAGGGCATTTTGGGGGGAAACTGTCTACAGCCTCAGGCTTGGCTGAGCTGCCAGGAGACCTAGTGGACGGCAAGCAAGGGACAGAGGCTTTGTGCTTTGCTTGGTGAAGTTGCCTGGGGGAGCCTGGGATACAGGCAAGGTAAGCAGGACTAGGATTATACATGAGCCCTGGCTTAAGGCTTCAGTTTCCTCCCCATCCAGCAAGGTGGACAGGATCAGCAGTAGCCCACTACTGTTGCCTGGAGGCTGGTAAAAATGGAGACATTTCATAAAAAGTCTGGATTTCTGGCTTCCTTTTAACATAAAGGGTGCTGGCCACTTGGGGCCAGTGTTCCTACCTGGTATCCCTGCCCAGCATCTAAGGCCAATGCTGGGGAGGAGCTGCCCCTTCAGGGGGGGACAGTGGGCTCCCAGTCAGCCGAACACCACCTAGTCGGCCTCTCTCATGGATTATCTGCCTCGCCCCTGCAAGAGACTGTCTGCTTTTCCCTTCTATTCTGATTTGGTGGTTTCCAAGTTCTTAGTGTCTTAAAAAGCGTTTTTGTTTCTCTTTAAATATAAAAAACATAATAGGGTAATAAATAAATTCTGATTTATTCATATAATGATATACTATAGAGTAGTTAAAAATGAATAAATTAGACCCACCCATAGCAATACGGAAAAATGCAAGTTGCAGAATGGTATGAGAGCATTTATATAAAATTTTAAACACTCAAAGCAAAGCTTGATTTTGCTAATGACTACACATAAATGTAATAATGTATAAAATCATGAACTGGAAGCACATGTACCAGATCCCAGAGGGAGGGTGGCCTCTCAGGAAGGAGTGAGGGCAACAAAGAGGTCTTTTGCCTTTTGTCCTCTAACGTTTCTTTTTCTCTCTTTCTTTCTTTTTTTTGGTGAGGAAGATTGTCACTGAGCTAACATCTGTGCCAATCTTCTTCTATTTTGTATGTGGGACGCTGCCACAGCATGGCTTGATGAGTGGTGTAGATCTGCACCCGGGATCCAAACCCGTGAACCCTGGGCTGCTGAAGCAGAGCATGTGAACTTAACTAATTGGCCATGGGGCCGGCCCCCAGTATTTCTTTTTCATATACGAAATGATAGGAGACAGAAAATAAAGCCCATGACCCAGAATTAGCCATACACTTTCAAATACGAGGTGTTCCACTTCTGATTCAGATAGCGACAGTCACCAAAAAACACTGCCCCCACCATAACAATAACACTGGAAAGAAAATAATCTTATTTTTCTTGAAAGGAAATTAAAAGAAAGAACAAAAAAGAGAAAAACGAAGCCTAAACCCGTGCTGTCCGATATGGTAGTTGCTAGCCACAAGGCTACTGAGCTCTTGAAATGTGGCTGGTCCCAGCTGAGCCATCCTGTACATGTAGCAGACACACCAGATTCTGAGGACTTAGTACCAAAAAAAAGAATGCAAACTATTTCATTAATAATTTCTCTATTGATTACATATTGAAATGATAATTTTTAAATGTTTAACTATGGTTAAAA